AAATTCCTACAGGAGAGGGAGTAAACAAGTAAAGAAGGAAGAAACAGACTCCTTTCAGTAGCATCCAGTGACAGGACAAGATACAATGGGCACAAATTGAAATATAGGAAATTCCATTTAAACTTCAGAAAAAAAAAATGTTACTCTGGTGGTCAGATATCAGAACAGGTTGACTAGACAGATCCTGGAGTCTCCATCCTTGGAGATACTCAACACCCAACTGAACACAGTCCTGAGCTGTAGATGATACTGGTCTGAGTTGGGGGCGTTAGACTAAATGCTCTCCAGAGGTTCCTTCCAATCTCATTTGTTCTGTGGATTTGTGATTCTGTGTTAATGCTTCTGTGCTATTGGGTCTACAGAACTGAGAACAAGTATGAGGTTCTGTTATTCCTGGTTTGCATTAAGTAATTGACCAAGACAAGAAAAATGGTACCTGTATGTCACTACAGAACATTTTCCTGGTTTTACAAGCTTCTTTCTAAACCTACAGAGCCACATGAGTGCAAAATTATGTGCAAATCACACTTCACTGTTACAGATATCTTTTATAAGTTCTGTGGCCTTCCATCACACACATGAATGGACATTTAAAAGATCAATCTAATAGTGGATTGTCACCCTCAGTCTGCTTAGACTGCAAGGGTGAGCTCTCTTTTTGGGGTAGGGATCTCAGCTATAATGTTCAGTCAGTAGGCAGGCAATCTTCATGTTGAGCCCAGATTTGTGACTTAGCAACTGTGAGAAATACTATTCTCCTTCACGGTAACTGTTTTACTGGAGGTAAAACAGTTTACTGGAGCACTGGAGATGCTCTTCCATTATAAATCCAGTAAGAAAGGCACTCGGACTATGCACAGTGTCATTTAAAGTGCTATTTATTGATGCTAACACTGTAGAAGAAGAGATGATAGTACAGATAATCTTATGTCCCTTCAGATGGCAGAAATTCTGAGCTGTGCAGCATCAAAAAGGCAGCATATGATCCGGGTGCAGCCCATCATGCAGACTCTGTCTGAGAAGGGGTTTCCCTCTTTTGGTCATTTGAATTATTATATGGTTTTGGACAAGAAAACTCCATTTTTCTACTACCCAACAGAAGGAGTGTTCACATGAGAAATACTTGCTACACTTCTAGGTAAAGGCAAGAACTTGAAGGTGGTATGATCACCAGTACCAAGTGGGGGATGCCTACAGGCTCTCTGTTACAATTAGCTGCCTGTGTTTATTCTGTAGCTGAGATATTCATAGCAGAACAGGGGACTGAAGGCTAAGCTGTATGTGCAGTACAGCGCAGCCATTGGCCTACTCAGGTTAAACTTTATCCATTGTTGATGTGCAATGATTGGGATCATTACACTGAGACATATGACACTATCTCCAGTCATCATTCTGCAGATGGAATTGCAACATACTTGATGAAAGAAACCAGTTTACATGTATTATCTTACACTAATATATCCCAACCCAATCAGATTCAGCTGCTCACAGGGTTTCATAAAACCAGTTCTTGTAAAACTCCAGGAAGATTTACCATTACTCTTCATTTTCAATAAATGAAGGAAGAAAGCACTCCATTGCAAAAGCACCACTGCTTTAAGATCAAGAGCAAGTTTATTTATAAATTAGGCTCTTGTCAGATTTGGACAGATCCTGTTCCTGAGGACAATGAGTACTTTGTTATCATTTATTTTAGGATCTGTAGGACTGGCACCAGTATGGCTATATAGTTGTCAGCAGTATGCAGCCCTTGCCTGCCCAGGCAGGAACCTGTCAGGCTGAAGCCAGAGTGCTACATCCTGCCGACCCTCTTCTGGTAATGCTTGTGAAAGAGCCTCAGTGAAAGTTCATGGAGTGATTCTGTGCCAAGGACATGAGTGAATCACTGCGGTGGATGCTGTGGCAGTGGCGATTTGCCCATAGATGGCAGCGTTTGCTGTCCTTTTGATATCCTGGTGATACTTGCATTTACTGTATTTGTTCCACCACAGAAGATTCTGTTGTACAGAAGGCCATAAACTCCAACTGAAAATACAGTTAGAGAAAACTTTCTGATTCATCTCTCAGGCTTTCTAAAAATAAAAATTAAAAGGAAGCCCGAATAGCCTGAATAAAGAACACAGAAGTATGACCCTCATTTGTGCTGTGTATTGGAGGAGATGGTGTAGACCTGTTCTCTGTAGCCAGATTCCCCTATACATAAACACATCATAAATGTCTTCTAACTGTTTGCAGTTTATCTACACTTTGAGTTCAGTGGCCCCATCTATAGAGAATATAAGCGTACCCCAGTAGTGCAGCGTAAAAGAAGAAACCTGTGAGGTGCAGAGAGAATCCCATTTAACTGGTTTGGCTTATTCAGGAAGTCTACAGCAGAGCTGGAATTTGAATCCCTGAGTCCTACCTTTAAAGGGGAAGCTGAGTACAGATGGTTCCTTAGCATCTCCAAGACACCGTATACATCAGCCACATCTGCTGAGCACTTTCTGGTGATGACTCATTGTTTATTTCTCCAAACGTGGTGTAGGGAGAAGATGCATCTATCGTTTCATTCCTTTCCTCCTCAAAATATATAGGCTGTCTAGGCTGACTGTCAGCAGTGGAGTTCATGAGCAGTACTAGTATGGAGGTAACCAGCCTTTAGCTTCAAACATGTGCAGAACCTTTGCAAGTCTCCAGTTTCCTTAAAATATTTTCCTTCTGTGGATTGAGAGACTCTATGAGATCGCTCCGGCACTGTGACAGATGGAGGGTCTGTCACCCAGCTTGTGGTTATTTGTGTCTATCTGGCTCCACTCAGAGTGGGTTTGAGAGTCTCTGAGATTTTCTGTGGGAAAGTTTCTTTATTATAAAACAGATTACAAAATATGTGGAAGGACAGTTCTGTTTTATCTTACTCTGCTAGCAGCCTTAAAGGACAAGATCTGTGTAAATTGTATGTTTCATCCAAAACAAAGGTTCAGTCTGAGTGACAATGCCATTATGGGGATCACAACCATAGGATCTGTTTAAAAGCATTTGATTATTATATTCCTATAGGCTAAGAACATGGGATATGCAGAATGTCTCAGAGGTCAGTAATACCTGCTTTACAGAAGTGTACAAAAGGTAGCATAATCCCAAAATCTGCCTTTACAGGAAGTTTAAGACTCAATTAATAAAAGATTGTTTTCCCTAGATCTCAATAAAAAGAAATTGAAATGAAACACAGTGCTTCCAGAAATCTTTGTAATATCCCTATAAATCAGGAAAAACTTCCGTCAAACAGCAAACACTTCTGTTGAACAGCTGTAGAGATGGTGTACAAGTGCAGACGAACAAATAATGCCATGAAGATTGCCTTCTAAATCCAGAATGCTTTTCCTAACTTACAGAAAAAGCACTCTTGCATAAAGCACAAGAATATTTTCACTGAGAAGCTTTTTAAAGCTGTTCTGATACATAAAGTGAATTGTGCATTCATGTGCATTCATTGCATAGTCGTACATGTGCAGTAATTAAAATCAAAATGAAAGGCCTAGTACCAAATGAAGGTAACAAAGTTATGAATAAAACTTTGACTGATGACATTGGACAAAACTGCAAATAGTCCTTTACATGCAACATAAAGGTAGCAAATGCAGACTGCATGGAGAGCAATGCTTCTGGGAAGGCTCAGATTCAATGAATTTAAGACAAAACATTGAATTCTGTTAATATTTATGCCAATTTAATTCCAGGGTTACTCCACTAACTTAGTGTTACTCTGGATCTCTATCAATATGGTTGAAATTAGCATCTGGCTCGTTGTCATAAATTTAATTTCTATCATTTCCTGACTTCCAGCAGACAGAAAAAATGGCCCTTGGCCTTAATTATAATTGTATTACAGCAGCTTTTTCTGAAAGTCATATTTTTAATTTCTATTTAATCCATCCTTCTTTCTGAACTATAAACCTTTAATTCATAATGAAAATAAACAGCTATTTTATTGTCTTGTTTCTACTGCAGTTTTATATTCAAATGCCTCAGGATTTTGTCCTTTCCTGAAATCAAAGAAGTTTTAAAAATATGTACAACTGAGTTAAATAAATTCTCTTATTATATTTTATGTTTAAAAGTTACTCTTTCAATGCAACCACCCCACCTTATAGATAGAGGACTTAGAAGTAGCACTATAGAAACAAGTACAGTCTTACAAACTTGAACAGCAGATTTCTGGTCAAATCTACTCAAACTCACACTAATGAAAACACTTTTTACAAGAGAAATAAACTGTACAGAGAGTTATTTACTATAAACTGAAACCAGTAGGACCTCCCATAGGTTGGTTCAGATCCTGGATAAAAATTAGAATCATAGAATAGTTAGGGTTGGAAAGGACCTTAAGATCATCAAGTTCCAACCTCCCTGCCGTGGGCAGGGACACCTCACACTAAACCATCTCACCCAAGGACTCGTCCAACCTGACCTTGAACGTTGCCAGGGATGGAGTATTCACAACCTCACTGGGCAACCCATTCCAGTGCCTCACCAACCTCACAGGAAAGAATTTCCTCCTTATATCCAATCTAAACTTCCCCTGTTTAAGTTTTAACCCGTTACCCCTTGTCCTGTCACTGGAGTCCCTAATGAAGAGTCCCTCCCCAGCATCCCTACAGGCCCCCTTCAGATACTGGAAGGCTGCTATGAGGTCTCCACGCAGACTTCTCTTCTCCAGGCTGAACAGCCCCAACTTTCTCAGCCTGTCTTCATACGGGAGGTGCTCCAGTCCCCTGATCATCCTCGTGGCCCTTCTCTGGACTTGTTCCAACAGTTCCAAGTCCTTTTTATGTTGAGGACACCAGAACTGCACACAATACTCCAGGTGAGATCTCACGAGAACAGAATAGAGGGGCAGGATCACCTCCTTCGACCTGCTGGTCATGCTCCTTTTGATGCAGCCCAGGATAGGGTTGGCTTTCTGGGCTGCAAGCGCACACTGCTGGCTCATGTTCATTTTCTCATCGACCAGCAATTACAAGATACCTAATGAAAATGATCAGGGGAAGATGAAAGGTAAATGTGTGCCACAATGCACACACAGTCCTTTCATCTGGCTTTGTATTGCATTCCTTTTCACATGGATGCAGAATGAAAGAATACTGATGCTGTCTAAAGATGTTCATATTGCTGGGGAAAAAATAATATTCTATCCAATTATTTGAACACTCTTTCTGCTTTGAAAAGAACCCACTAGATTTTAAAGGCATCTTATTTTTCTGTCAGTTTCTTAAGATGTCCTTTGATGGTGGTATAAATTCCTGGGCTGGAGTGATGACTGGAAATGATTCTACATTGTTCAAGCAACCAAAGCTAAATAAATTGAGTCCTTCCACACAAAAGCATAACTACTGTAGAAAATGCTGATTTGCAGTCCAGAAACCAATAGTGCCCAAGAATATGTAAGGGACAACTAATCTTCCACCAACACCAGCAGAACCTTAGATTTTCATAGTTGCCTCCGGAAAGTAGAACTAATTCCAAAAGCTGCTATCTCCTTGTCAGAGTCCCAAAATATTTTCCAAACAATCGATATGTTATTTTACAGAGCACGCAAATTCCATTTTAATTTAACAGCAGTGTTGCAGCACTGGTTGGCTGTTTCTCCAAACTGTGTGCCAAGACTTAAATGACTTACCAACGACATGTTAAGCAAGGTTTTGAAATGCTTTAGAAATCAGAGTAATCCAACAAAGCATGTAATATAACACTTGTCTGTGCTGGCTTGACTTTGCTTTAAAGCAATTACTGAGTGGTCCCTGGAGTCCAACGGGAACAGCAACAGGGAAGAGTCATATTGCAGTCAGTTGGAATCCATTGCTTGAAGGTTCTGAAGGACTTCCAGCACAACTTCATAGCAGAATAAATACTCATCCTGGATGCAAACACATCAATGTGAAACATCTAATTACATTCAACATAAATTCTAGACAAAGAACAATGAACCGTTTGAAGTGTTGCTTATAACACCAGCATCTATGTAACATCGACACAAAAACTTATTTAAGAGAATCTTTGTTCTTTTTGTTCCATCACTTGAAAAGCTCATGAAAGTTTTCTTATTCAGTGCAGTACCTGTAAGCATGTGCTCAAGCCTCATTTAGGTCAGTAAATGCTTAATTTTAATCACACACTTAATCATTATCCTGAAGAAAAATATATCAAAGCATATGACAAAATATTTGCCTACAGGAAGAATGTACCCTGGTCTTGTCTTATTTTATTTCACACCACTTGTTTGCTTAAAATTGAGTTAGCCACATCTTATCTTTTCCTGTGTGAAAGCTCTTTTCAGGAGTAGGTTTAACTCAGCAGTAGTAGGCTTTACTGAGGTGGTGATAACTCAGCAATACAAAGAGTTCAGCTGAAGGCTGCAATTTTTCAGGGTAGAGTTTATGGTATCTCACTGGTTTTGTTGTTGATCCCTGCTTTTCTTTTTCCTTAAAAAAAAAAGTGGGGGAGTGGGGAGGGAATGGGGATGGGACTGGAAGCTGTACTATAATGGTGCTTTGCTTTTATTTCCATTAGTTAGTAAGAAACAGACCTTTCATATTTAGATCTAGACACCGCTTGGCTGGAAGGGTGTTATTTTCCTCAAATGAGAAGGCTAAATTTATAGAATCATGGAATCATAGAATCGTTAGGGTTAGAAAGGACCTTAAGATCATCTAGTTCCAACCCCCCTGCCGTGGGCAGGGACACCTTACGCTAAATCATCTCACCCAAGGCCTTGTCCAACCTGGTCTTGAACACTGCCAGTGATGGAGCATTCACAATCTCCCTGGGCAACCCATTCCAGTGCCTCACCACCCTAACAGGAAAGAATTTCCTCTTTATATCCAACCTAAACTTCCCCTGTTTAAGTTTTAACCCATTACCCCTTGTCCTGTCACTGCAGTCCCTAATGAAGAGTCCCTTCTTAGCATCCTTATAGGCCCCCTTCAGATACTGGAAGGCTGCTATGAGGTCTCCACGCAGCCTTCTCTTCTCCAGGCTGAACAGCCCCAACTTCCTCAGCCTGTCTTCATACGGGAGGTGCTCCAGTCCCCTGATCATCCTTGTGGCCCTTCTCTGGACTTGTTCCAACAGTTCCAAGTCCTTTTTATGTTGAGGACGCCCGAACTGCACACAATACTCCAGGTGAGGTCTCACAAGAACAGAATAGAGGGGCAGGATGACCTCCTTCGACCTGCTGGTCACGCTCCTTTTGATGCAGCCCAGGATAGGGTTGGCTTTCTGGGCTGCAAGCGCACACTGCCAACTCATGTTAAGTTTCTCATTGACCACCACCCCCAAGTCCTTCTCCGCAGGGCAGCTCTGAATCTCTTCTCTGCCCAACCTGTAGCTGTGCCTGGGATTGCTCTGACCCAGGTGTAGGACCTTGCACTTGGCATGGTTAAAGTTATGCTTTAAGCCCCAGATTTATCAAAGCATGATTGAGACATTTAAAAATCATAATCTAGTTGAATATTGAAAACTTACCTTTGTTTGGATCATGCCAAATCGCTGATGTCTCAAGTCTCTCACTATCTGCTTGATGTTGAACTATCAGAAGAGAACAGGTTTTATTTTGTTGACATGCAAGTTATAAAGAAAGATTTAAGCAAGTTCAGATGGGGAAGTTCTGACTTAGTTCTGTTACAAATAGTATATTTGCAGTTATTATCTTTGTTGCTTAAAACAATAAAAGCTGGTTTGTTCCATTTTGTTACATTGAATTCTAACAGGAATTATGCTGGTCTAAGATACTCCCACTGTTTTTTTTGACATCCATACCAATTTGTAATACTTAATGACAATCTGTTTGATACTTACAGATAAATCTTTTTCTATATAGCTGAGCAGAACTTCAACAGCCAGCAAAACTCCACTTCTTCCAATGCCAGTGCTACAGTGAGCAACAATAGGTCCTGTGCTGTGAGCTCTTCTCATGTAACAAATAAATTTTACAAGCTGCTCAGGCAGTTCGGAAGTATTTTGGTCTGGCCAAGTGGTAAACTGCAAATGACTTATAATGCGCTTCTCTTCTGTCTGGAAGAGCAAGACCAAAAATGTTAAGAATGACCAGTTCTAAGACCAAGTTTCAAGTAATTCCACTGATAAATTTTCTATTAGCTTCATTCTTAGTCAATTGTTAGTCTACTGAACAATTCCTCAGCTTTTCATTCTTGAGTCTATTAAGGTTTCTTTTAGGTTTTCAGAAACGTACTCAGAAGACACAGGCCTAGGATATTTACTTCATATAATATTTATGACACACTGAAGTTACTCTGGATGTAGTTATCTTATTTGATTAGAAAGGAAAAACAAAAACATTTGTTAAATTACATTCCAGTACTGTATAGTAAAATTAGTTTTGTAACCAAACTAAGTCATGCTAATAGAAGAGTAGTAATATGATAGACATGATAGCAAGATTGTAAATGCTATTCTGGTATGAGATATAAAAGAACAATTTGTGATTAGATACCCTAACATACAAACCAAATCAAACAAAAAAATTCTTACAAGAATAATCATAATGTAGGTAAAATAAAGAGTATTATTAACAGAATGGTCCTGGGACAGTACTTCTTGTTGCCAGCTTGCCATGTTAAGCTGAATGCAAAAGAACTACCCAGGATTTTTACAATCAGAAAAAAAGTGAATGCATTTTTGGATTTCTCCTGAAGTAAAACTATGTCTTTCTGCAGTAATGTGATATTGGTCCAATACAGACATAGCAAACTAAGATAACCATTGAAACAATTACATGTAACAGCCTATCTTCTCATCTTAATAATCTTTTGGGGGAACTCATATCAAATGTTTTACTATGCCTCACACTTAGTGACATAAAGTAAATTGGCTTTTCTTTATATAGAGAATTTTTTTTCTTGATGGAAAATGACCAATTTAGTCTGGAACAAGAATGAATCTTTTAATGGTTTCATTAATTAATATGTCCTGCAGAAATTTTTGCAAAGTTAAGTAAAGCTTTGAGGCAAGCTATTGAGGCAAGACTGATGGACTTATAGTTGCCCAGTTTCCATGTTCTTACACTTTGATTCTGTATTTGTAGTTTCTGTATTCACGCCTTCTTTTGACATTAGAAAGAAATATCATTAATTGTAAAATCTAAAAAAAACACTTTCTTCCCCTTCCAGCCAGCATTAGAGAATGTGAATCCACTCTGGCAGCCGTTACTGATTTGACTTAATGAGAACAGTAAGCAATTCTGCAAAACACTGAATGCACCAGCTCTGTGACTATTAAGGGACAAACTTTTGGACATTCTTGTATAACCTTAATTTCATGCCTGTTATTCAGATTTTTACATTCCTAAAAATTACTGAGCAAATGTTACAGAAGACGCAAACAATAATATTAGAATATACTTATGTAAAATACCTAATGAATTTCATCATATACAAAAATATTAAGCCTACACAACTTACCTGCTTGTTGATCATTTCTATTGTTCTAATTATGAAGTATTCCAGAATCTGGTAATTGTCTAGCCTGAGATGGAAATTAGCCAGGTCTATAGAGTCATGGGGAGGTTCAGGCCAGTATCGGTGACATCTGATTTGCCCTAGCTCCACTTCTTTTGTCATCATGGCAATCACATCTGATTCACTCTCCCAGACCATTTGCCAGAAATCAGCCACAGTGGATGGCAAAGGCCCTTGGGTTGTAATATAGAAATGTTCATCTTCTCCAACTTTCATTCTAATGTAGCTTGCATTAATGTAGCCATTCTTTTCTCCCAGAGGAACTCGTGTCCTATCATCTGTACAGAAACAGAAAGTAGTTATTTCAGCTATAGATCTGAAACAAGAGTTCTACCATCTCTAGCAGTTGGGATGGTGAACCTCAGCTTCAAGCAGCAAAGTATGCCTCTGGATTTTCAAATACATTTGACAAGTACCACTAGTATTAATCACCATTAATAGGAATTCCCACAGATAAATTGTATTATTCATTTCAGCTTTATTTCTCTTAAGATACCTGTGTAACGCTCTGACAAGCCTTCTAATTACCATAGAATTTTATGGCAATGATTCAGAATAGTGTATCCAATATGGCTTTTAATATATGGGATGGGAATATTGTCACTGGATATTGCTGTTTTAAAGCAGGAAACTCCTGAGAACGTTCACTGTGTCACTAATATGGAAAGGTGACTGTGCTACAAATTTTGCATACGTTTTCCTGCTGCTGCAGTTCAGAAAGACATCAAGGGTCCAGCAAGCGTTCCCGTTCTGTTGTGATACCTCTCAGGGAATCATTGGGTATTACAGGAATTTTTGGAAATCCTTATTAACAGCAGACATTCAGCTCTTGTACTGAAATCTTCTAAATGACTAAAATGACTTCTCATCAGTGAGCAGACTTGTTTCTGACTTAGAACAGAGATGAGCAGCTAAAAGCTCTGGTTGTATATTACGCTTCTAAACACTTCTGAAAACATCTTTTATTTTTCCAAGAGACGCATAACTCCATGATTTCCACCATGCTTTCCAGAATTCCATTGTGTCACAAACAGTAGATATAGCTGTACATTCAAATAGATTTAAAGATCTGCTGTTATAGTTCAAGTTACACTTGCCCATAGAAATGTAGATCAGTATCTCTGAGAAAAATGGGAAGGAAACACTCAGATAGCTGCCCCCTATCGGACAAAGTCACACCTTGTGGAAGATGATACTTCAGAAAATTACATACTGTGCAATGCTGACACCCTTACATGAGCTCTACCTCCTTTGGAAAAATCTCAACACGTTTCAGTGTTAGCATACCTCTCAGTGGCTAAGAATGCAGTGGGATTTGCATCTCCTTTGTATCAGTGTTAAAACTGCTTTTCTGTTTTCCAGTTAACTGAACGTATGTTCTCATTAGTGCGCATACTTACATGGAAGAATATCTCGGTATCTGTTTTTATCCCGGTTTTCTGGTGCTTTGCCAGTTCTGCAGTCATCTATTGGTTTCAAACGTTCTAAAGCCTAGAACAAAGAGAAATAATCCATGTTGTTCACATCCTTCATAGACAACCCTTATAGAGTTGGTGTGAGCAAATTGTACCGCTGTAAGTGACCCAACATTGGTAAATAGACTTCTTACAGAAGAGAATCAGTACATCACCCTCTAAACTTCAAATTGCTTTGTACTTTCTTCAGTCTGCACAAGATTTCTGGGGTTTTCAAGTGAGATTTCCAACCCAAATCCTCAACCCTTGTCATTACAAATCCCTGTTGTATACTGCTGTGAAATGGATGTTTGGAATAGTGTCTTGGTCAAATGTCCAAATGTCAGTATTCATAACTGATGACATACTAACTAAAGCACCAAGTATTGCTCTATTAACAAGTACTGAATGTCAGTGAATACTTTTCAGTGACAGGGAAAGTGATGGATATAGAGAACAGCATCAATGGTGAAAAGTGCAAATAATGTGATTGTTGAGTACTTCATAGCAGATTTAGGGGAATAGTGCAGTGTAGCTGGAAGCAGGAATGTAAAAGTTAATTTCATTTAGAGTTTTGAGTTACCTTCACTTTTCTTTATTCCTTTACCTCTTTGGTATGCACTGCACAATGCTCAACCATCACATTATGGCACTATACAGTGTATATGGGCTGAAATACATGTGACATTTCTTTAATATATTCATCTGTTACTACAGCTTTTACTCAGATAAAATATCCACTGGCTTTGGTAACCAGTGCATTCCCTGTTAGACCTTTATGTTTTCTGTGCAGACGCGTGTTTCAGCTCATATGCTCTGCCTGCACCAGTAACAGAATGGAATGAATGGAAATTAATACATGCCCTTGAGCCTTTAGGGAAAGTCAGCAAATCCTATACACTTCAGCCTGTGGGATTTTCTACCCAGAAAGTCAGAGATATAAAGGCAAGTGAAAGGAACTGATAATGTTGTAATTGCTATTGAAAAGTGGTAGCAATCTATTTCCCTGGTTTTGAGTACATCCTTTAAAGGAAATTCCAGTACTGTGCTGAAGAGTTACGAAATAATCTGTTCTTTAGGAATTTGATGATAACTGAGTACTCTTTTTATATCCTGAAACAAGAGATTCTATATGCTTCCCTAATTTTATATATTTTCATGCCATCAGATGTAATTATGTGTTTTCATTATCTGTGGAGTTACATTACTTTTTTCTTTTTAATTTCATAAAGTTCCCAACCTTAATAGCATCTTGTGGCAATGAGTTCCATGGTTCACTGGAGCATTGCGTGAAACATTTTGTTTTCAACTAAGTGTTTCAGGACTACTGAATCCCTAGCAGCATGGATTTCTTGCTTTAGTGCAGCCTCAAAAATAGTTCTTAGGGAGATGTTCAGCAGAGCTGAGGGGGTAATAGGAAGAAGTCAGCCTAGGAAAAAGTGATTAATACTCTAGTGTATTATTTTTCATTCCATGTGGGTTGTGTCTTTGGACAGGGAATAGTGAAAGCCTGACCTGTGTGGAAAGAAAGATCCAAATACTGTAGCATCACCCAAACCGTAGAGTAGAAACCCCATTCTGGCAGGAATAATTCTCTGAGAAAGTGGAGTCAGTAAAGATATACAAGCCAATCTCCCATACAGTATGCAGAAAGCTGATAAAAGTCACACACTCAGATCTTAAAAAGTAATCACACTTTACCACAAACTCCTTTAACACCTCTTGAGTCTCAATCCGAAAGTGAAGGTCTTGAATAAGACCTGTGATGCCAGTTGTTGGACCTATTCCAGCCAGTGATGTTTTAAAGTTAATTAAGTGAGTCAGTTCATCTCCAGAAGCAAAGGTTCTACCTATATATCAACAAAGAAAAACAAAGGAGTTTTTAATTATCATTGTTCATAGTACAAATTCTTGGCTTTAAAAACTAGGGGGCTGCAGTACATGAGTACATTTTGATGCTTATACTGTGGAAGTGAAATGTGAAAAAATATTTTTGGCTTACTTATGTTCACAGCAGAAAGAAGAGTAAGTCAGCACCATGGATACAACCAGCACCACATTTCATGTCATTTGGAAGCAGATCCAACTATTGCAACTTATTGCCTCATACAGTTTCTAAATACAGTCTGTTTAAATAAAGTATTCTTGCAGAAATTCTATTGGTACTGGAGTCTTTCACCACATCTTCACGAGGAATCATCTTCATCTATCCAACACTTTCCTGAAAATTAGTACTGCCACACCCCAGTGCTAGGAATAATCACTGCAAATTCTTCTTCCCTGAAGTAAAATATCTTCTGTCCTTTTCATCTTACCTCACACTCCTCTTCGAGAACGAGATGCAAAGCAACAAAATCAGGATTCAGTTTTACTAATTTGCTCACCCTGAAGTATATGTTCTGATATGAAACTTGACAGATTAAGACAATGAATAAACATTTATATCTCTAGAAATATGACTACTTTACTGTAGCAATTGAATTTTTTTTTTACCATGTAGAGGAAAACAGTAGCTTGTTTGGTAAAAAATAGTTGTTTGAGGCAGAGAAATTAGGAATTTGTCCTTTTAGTCATAGGCTACTGTTGGCAAAGGATAACATGCCAGCTGTCTCAAAAGAACCCCATTGATCAGTTCCACAGGTTTGTGGTATGCTGAAGACAAGAAGCAATGCTCTCTTTTCCTCTTGTAAGATGTCATCTCTATTCTTAACCAATCTCCATAACAAAACTGTTGTGCTTTCTATGCTTTTGTCTGGGCTACAACTTGCATCTGCCTTGCCTGAGCTTCTGAAATGATTTCTGTCCACTTTCTGTTCTCTAGCCATAAGATATGCCAGGGTATTACTATTAACTAGTTGAGAGTGCCAGTCAAGACAGATCTGCCACTCCAGACACAGCATGCTATTTCCTATACACCTCTCTTTTGTTCCAGATCACGTGGAATAAGAAAGCCAAAAATCTGAGCAGGTATGAGAGGAGAGATTGGTTATAATTTTCTATTTGCTAGCCAGCACAGTTTGGTAGTGTGAGGGAGATAACTGTGATTTACTTCTTCTAAGAGCCATGAGCAATTCATTGCTTCCACAGGGCAAGAAGAAACAGGGAGAGACCTGTATTTCAGAGAATCTATAGGATACTGCAGTATGATTGCTTTCACAAATTTTTCTTGTTTGGAGGGGAAGCAGCTTTATTTCCTATAGGAACAACTAGGCAGATTCTTTCTGTAAATGTTTTCTGGTATCAGAACGGCTTTAGCACCTGAGCTGTGAAAGTGCTTCAGTATGTTTAAGCACATCAGTTCTAGAGGTTTCAATTTCACTCATTATATTATGTGAAATTCAAAGCCATCTGCTTTTATTTCATTCATTTTGGAACAAAGAATTTACATTTTTAATTATGCACTGGGAAGCTCCCACAATTTTGCTTCTGACCCAAATTGCACTGGTTTTGTTTTCTTTTTTTCATTCAGCCCCTGAGCCAGTGTGTCATTTCTTTGCACGATCCAATAGTGCATGACTTGAACAAATGTTATGAAGTTGCTCAAATTAATGCAAGAACTTTCTTTTCCTCTTTTTTGCTCAGTTTACAGCTCAATTACACCTGATTGAGTCTAATCAAGGTATTCAGAGATTTTCCTTTGAGGAGGAAGGACATGATATGGAGCATGGGAAAAAAACAACAACAACAACAAAAAAAAACAAAATAAAAACACACACACACAAAAAATAAAAAAATAAAAAATTTGCTCATCCTTTTGAAACTGGGGTGCCAGAGCAGAGGTGCTTTGAGCAGTGGTGAGTGGGTGATGGCCAGCACAGCTGCCCTCCCTGAATTCAACTAACTACATTCAGACTCGTGTTCCTTCCTTCCTCCTGTTCCCCAAAAGAGTTGGAGAGCTCCTGATGTAGGCCTTCTTCTTGCAGATGTTTCAAAAGTTTGATGGCCTTCATATGTATCATGGTAAAAATTGTGTCCTGAGTGCTCTGGTGTTTGAGACACAAAGAGCAAATACTTAGCTTATATATAAGTGATTAGTGTTGTTCTGACTGTACATATACAGAGGAGCTGGCCTATAATGTTAAAAGAACAGAAATTTTTGCATGGTTACTTCTAGGTAGAACAGAAATCCTGTAGGGCATATCATTGTCTTCATCATTCTGGTTGTCTGCCACAGGCTGCTGAGTCTCTCTTCTGCAGCCTTCACATTCGGCATATTTCTGTAACCTGTAAAACAGCATCAGTTGAATGGGCTTACAGAAGCAGCAGAAACTTTTATAGTTTGGGTTTTTTTTAATCTATTTTTTATCACTTTTAACTTTCTTAAGCAACTATTTTTAAGAATTAGCGTGAACTCCAAAGAGCATAAATCCAAGGAGTAATAGCATAGTGAAGAGTAGTGTTTGGAAGTAAGGTTTGTCACAGTTGCAGACAATTTTTCATGTATGATATTTTTCAGTTGTTAGGCAGCCATACCTATATAGGCTTTGCTTGTTACTGTTGCCTAAAGTATTTAGAAAATTTTGGAGCCCTTAAATATGTTTTGGTAGAAGACATGCCTACAATCCAGAATACAGCTATAATGGTGTGCAGAATGGGTCAGATGTTCCTCTACTGGCTAACTCTGGTACCCGGAGACCTAACATTTAACTATGTTAGCAGGCTTAAGCATATCAGAGTCTTGCATTGTACTATCCTCGGTGTGATAAGAATATATAATGTTAGAAATAGTAGAAAGTACACTTAAGAGGGAGAATAAGATAATAAAAAGCAGCTTTCTGAATATCAGTAACCATTGCAGCTGTGCATGTTCAAGTTACACAAGGCTTTTGCAAGCAGCAAAAGGAACACTGGAAAGTACTGGTAGTAAAAAGATTCAGATTACATGACAGGGGCCAGAAAACCATCCTATTTGCAAAACAATCAGAAGAGATACTTGTTATCCATATATATGATAACTTTGTATTAGTCATAGACGCATTTATGCATCTTGCCCACAGAGCAAGATAATTTAATAATAATCATGCCTAATTGCCTGGTATATGACAAGATAATGTTATATTAGCAATGAGGTAATAGCAAGGGACACTGAGCCTCTGTTCATATGGATGTTCTTCCATGCAGATGCTCTCAAACCATCTTGCAGCTCTGCAAGCAGGTGAGTTAGGGAAGATTTTCATCCCTAATTGGTTGGCCAAATATTGTTCTTACAAAATGTTAAGTTTTCTCACAAAATTTAAGTAAATATTTAGTCTTTTTTTCCAATTTATGTGGGTTGTAGGTGATAAAAAAAATAGTCATGTTTCATCTATGCCATGTCATTTTAATAGACAAAACTTCCCATGTCTTATCAACTTTGGTTTCCCATTGTACTGTGAATTTTAAATTTGAAGTAAAATTCTTCTCTTCCTGTAGCATGTACTTTCTTTGGAGTAACAGTCTCAAATTCTCCTGTCTCTCAGATGTCTGGAGTTCAAAATCTGGATTGCTACAGGCATAATAGCACAAGGTCCAGCCCAGGCTGCAAGTGCTGCTCAGAAGACTTAGTAGAACCCACAGGTACCCTCCCCACAGCAATGTGATAGTGGTACCACTGTTCTCTCTCCTCCTCAGCTAGAAAAGCTAAAGCTAGCTTAGGCATGTCTGCATGAGCTGTTAGAGCTAGAAGCCTGTGTTTCATTTAATAGTTGCGTGGAAGCTGTTTAGCATTTCTTACTGCAGATGGAGCTGTATTCCAACAGAACTGTATTTCTGTCATTTCGGACACATGGGTGAATTTGCACTCCATATTAGGACAGTTCTGGAAATAAAAGATAAATTAGCCATACTATTTATTTTAATAGTTTTAATTCATTTGAAAGACTTACCTGTCTGAAATGTTACAGATTATATCCTTACAGTCTCGTCCAGACAGCTGACCTTGCAGAAGCGAATCGTGTGTGCTATCTAGATCCTGCAGGTTTAAAATGCGAAAAAGCTGTGAAAAATCAGTACATAGAAACATCAAGCATGTAGTTACTTTCATTGACATTGTTTCTTATATCTGTAAAAAATGTGTCCTTCAGTCAGGAATGGAAGGGAAAACAGAACAGTTTCCACTTTCAGAAGAAAGTATGCAACTTTGATTCAGCATTGTAGTACGTACTAGGAGTAAGAAGCCACTAGGTGTAAAAAGTATTTGTGAGTTTCATAACAATACAGTCTTCAGAATCCCTACAACTTAGAATTAATGACTAAACTTTGAAAAGTTTCATGTTAGTCATATCCTCCCCAATCTCATAAAGAAAATGCAATCACAGGAATCATGAGTCATGCTGTATTCTTCACCTCCTTAGCTCTTACTGGGAGAAAGCACCACTGTCTGAGATGGAATCGTTGGTAATAATTTCCTTTTTCTGTCTCAGACACAACGATGCCAGCTGGTAGAAGCTGGGTGCAGCTGCTCTACTGAAGAAGTACTCAACTAACAGAGAAGGCAGGCCCTTGATCACCCTCCATATGCAGAAGTGATAATATTGGTGGCTGGTTTTCCATCCTAGAGAATTATAAATGGATTCTGCATTTAAATAGTGATTCAGGACATCTGCATCTGCATCATGTTTGTGGAAGTGGCTCCTTCTGAGTTGAAACCCTTGATAGATAATGATTTAAATTCTAGTTCAGTGGTGTTTCTTTTTCTTTCCCTCCTTAATATTCCAGATGTACTCAGAGTACTGTGACATGTTATACAGTATAAACTACTGAATGCCCCACAGAATCTTAATGGTAGCTTCCACTTGCGCCTTATTTTCTTACTTTTGTGCTTGTACTTTCCCATTAGAACAGGGAAATTCATGGCTGCCTATTTAATAATGAATTAATTTACCCAGTTTCTGCACCTACTAACTGCATTGATTGGAGAATGCTGTATAGATTTTTTTTTTTCTATTTGCTAAGGAAAGGTATCTTACTGCTGCTTTTTTGCATCTGTGATTTTTTTTCAATGGGTTGTCATTTTCAGAGTCTACATCTTTAGAGTAGATGGCAGCTGTGCTCTATAAAGTAAAGCATAAATAGTTTCTATTCACAGGAAACAGCTAAAGGCAAGCTTGAAATAACGAACACTTAATGAAACTAATTCAGCACAAAATTTTAGCATGTGCTTAGATAGACTTTACTACATGCTTAAAACTACATTTGTGCATTAACACTTTGCTAACTTGGGGATCTAATAAGGAAACTGTAACCTTAGTACTATCTCCTATTTTTTATTTCATTTTTTATTTCCTGGGTGTACTTCTTTGTCAAAATATAGGCATGACCTTGTTTTGATATTACATTTCATCAATCTCTTAACAGTTTAGTTCAACACCCATTCCAACAGAGTACTTAAAACTTCCTCAAACAAATTCCTTTTAAAAGTTTTCTCATCTTATTCACATCAATGATTTCTTCCATTTTTCTTTTCTAGTTTGATTATTTTGGTTTATTTGTTGTGGATGATAAAAAGACCTACATTTCTCACATTTCCTGAGTAGTGGTTTTACAATTGTAAACTTAGAAATAATAGATGCTGTAAAATTTGATGTGGAACGTCTTACAGGACTTAGTAAGATTCAAAAACATAAACATGTTTGAAGAAGTTTGGGACCCTTGGAGTTATGAATATTTATAGAAGACAGTTGAATAGAAATCTTCTAAAGTGTATTGTTTTAAAAAACTGAAAGAATGGTAAAATTAACTTATCATTCATTCCAGTGTTAAAAAGTACAAGAATTAGACTTGCATATGCAGCCTTCCACTTCCCCCTTCCCCTCTTTAGTGTATATATATTATGCTAATTATATGCTCTTATCTCAGTGGAACCCCCTGACTCATTCAAATGTTAGCAGTTCCCATCATTGTAGCACACTTCCCTCACCCTAATCCTTTTTTGTTAAGAAGGTGTGGTTCACAAACGTTGAGTACATTCCCTGATAACTTCTAGAAGCATGATTCAGATTTTTACCTTGGTACACATCTGGTTGGATTCTTCTTCCTTGAAAGTGAGAACAGGCTGAGCTCGCAGGCTTCCCTCTGCACTATCTGAACACCAGAAAACAAAATCAAAACAAAATCCCTACGAAGCATGAAAATATAGTCATTTCTTCTGTGCCACGCACACCAGAGGACTTCAACCTTGGAAAAAGCACTGAGATACATTGCCAGAAACTGGCATGGACTATCCCTTTCATGGATGCTCTGAGAGGGTTAGTACAACACAGATATTATATATCACCACTGAAGAAGCCAGCATAATTCAGGTTGCCAGAAGATACACTGAAGAGACCCCTGTATCAATAGCAGTTAAAAACACTGAAACAGAATTTAATTCTGCCCTCTCTAATCCAGCCCATTCCTAAGGCCCAAATACCATGGATGAACTTTAATGCCAGTGCTTCTATAATACCACTGGGTTTTGTTGGTCCAGGAAAACAATTTAAACTTTCCAGCAACTGTGTAATTCACCAGTGCCGTGAGATGCAAATAAATGTGCCCACAACTAATTCCTTGAATTTGCAGAGCTGGAGAAAAGGCTAGTCTTACTGAAGTGAATGGGAATAATTCCACAGACCTTAATAGAGCAAGAGCTCCAATCAGCCTTTTTATAATTGGCTATCCTTACTTTATTTATTTATTTATTTATTTATTTTCATTATTAACCCCCAGAAACTAGAATAGAGATGGGCCAGTGAACATCCTCCTTTGAAGCTGGTGCTGATCATAGCTTTTACATCCTTATGGAAAAGCTTTGCTCTTGAAACTCAGAGGCAGCTTCCAGTAAGTGAAGGAGTATCCAGCACTTAAGACACTGGCTAGAAGTTCAAGATGATTAGGTTCAGTCTAATAGATACTGAAAAAACTGAGATCTTTGAACCCTATGGAGCAGCTGCAGAATTGCCTAAAATACCTCTACAGGCAAGTTCGCATCAGTAAAGCTGACTAGATGCATAAATGTTTGCTCTAAAATATGTCAAAACCGCAGTCAGCTCAGCATCTCTTCCTCATCAGCTGAGGAGAAAGTAAATAGCAATGACACTAGCTTCTTGCCTACAAAGATTTGAAACAAAGCCTCCAATTTGTAACTGATGAGCTAGAAGGTATATTAAGAAGGAATTATATATTCTTCCCACTGAATTTTCTCCTCAGTGTTCAAGAAAATAGGTGGTTGAGGTATATAAACCCATAATCTGTTGTTAATAGTATATCCATCCTTCCACTCATAGCTTTAATTAGTATTTTGATTTTGAATGTTCATTAGAGCAGAGTCTGCAGCATAAGCTTTTTTCTATTAGAGTTAGTCAGCTGTGCGAGTTTTGCCCTGTGCACATTGATGTGCTCTCAAATTAGTAGCAATCAATCTGGGAGCCAAGGCTTCTGGGTTTGCACACACACAGAAAGGAGAGGAGCTGTTTGTCAGGTAGAACTGATGCTTCCTAGAGATAAGGTAAGAGTGCTGGGGTGTGAAATTTATGGGAAATGTGTTTTAACAGCTGGGTCAATAACTGGCTGTGATTCCATCAGTGAGTTGAATAAAACTGGGTAAAATCAGACCAGGAGCCTCCATGACTTAAAAATAAAAGTTGAGTTAAAGGTTCTGTGAGGGTCTTGCAGCTTTGCTTCCACTATTTCTAGACTTAAAACTGACGCTTGGGCATTCCTTCCCTATGGTCCTATGTCTTGAGTAGCTTATCCAGAGCTGCAGATCAGGATGAAGAATGTGTTTGTATGTGAAGCTATGAATCAGGACTAACTGTAAAGTTTGTACTGCTGAACCCAGGCAACACATAATCTCACTTTACTGTCTACTGAGTGGATGTAGCTGCTTACCAGGCCCTGCTTTTGTGTTTGGAGGCGAAGGTATACTCTCACTTTGGTTGCCTGAATAAGCCCAATGCAAAGCCATCCTTCGGCACACAGTGAGTTGAACAGTGCCTTGAGCCTTGCGCAGCAAATCTGTAACTGTTTGGCGTGGCAGGCCAGACACAAAAGTCTCATTCACCTGAAAAAATACAATGATATATACTTCCAGGTTCCTGTAACAGAAATGTTTTTTAATCGCATTAATCTGCATTGAGCACTTTGCACTTCATGTGTCCTCATCCCCTCCCACTTTAGTAACTTCCTTGATCCTCTCCTGTGTACTTCTTTATACCATGATTGCCAGCAGTACAGCACAAAAGTGTAGTCTGCACCTCTTCTGAGACACTAGGAGGGCATTGTTCCCCCCATAATTCAGATGGAAGACGGAAGTAAATGAAAGTAAACGAAAGTAAATGAAAAATAGAAAAGCAAACAGAACTACTGAAACTCCTGGAGGGGGAGGAAAAAATAATTTGGGGTAAAAATAAAACTCAAACACCCCCCAAAAATCCAAAACATGATTTACATTAAGAGATGGTTAAATAGTAAGATTTTAATTAAAGATTCAAAAGTTCTAATTCCAGTGCTTTTTGCTTGTCTTGGTAATACCTGACTGGCACTGATGATAGATTCCTCCCAGTATCCTCTTGGTTAGCTGTTATATGCATGCTTGGTCAGTTAACTCTTCCTTCCCTGATTTTTTTCATGTGTAACCATGTGTAATCCTCACTGTGCACAGTTACACTACAGAGTGATTGCACTTTGTCACTTGCCCTGCTGTCCTGGGTTTGCTTCTCTGCTGGAATAGCCAACAGCCACCTCCAGCTGTAGAGAGGCCCAGTCCCAAAGGAAGCTGAATGTTAGGCGAGGGATGGAGGTTAGGGAGGCAGAACAGCCGTCTGACCCTCAGGAGCTGAGGGCTCCTATTACTGTGCCAAGCAGCCCCAGATTTCCAACCTGTGCAGCCTTTATACTGAACAGAATGCTGATCATAGAATACCTAGAGAAATTGTAGGCCAAAACAATGAAGAACAAGCAGTACCTTAAGCAGGATGTCACCAACTTGAAGCCTTCCATCTGTGTCTGCAATGCTGTCTGGGCTGATGGCCTTTATTAGGACAGCCCTGCCATTTCTTCCACCTACGAGTGCAAATCCTAGGCTTCCATTTTCCGCTCTTTCCAGCTCAATCTTAATAATGAAGTCCTACAATAGACAAGGGTGTAGTCTTAAGTAGAGTTTAGTTAGGGCTGTGCTTTTTTTGCATTTTTAATACTAAATAATCCAATTATGCTTCACAGTCCTCACTCAGTTATGTAGATTATGGGATATATCCTTCTCCTGAATAGGTATATAGAGCTTCCGTATATTAAAATAGCAGCTGCATGTATGTATCAGAATGAAAATAGTACATACTTATATCCATAATCCTTTTCAATAACTGCTGGAGGGGAAAATAACCTCTTAATAGCAAGGAAAAACTTACTTTTGTAATCCTTTTATAACGTTTCAAATACATCACCTTCACTGACAAACAAGTCACTCTTCTCTCCAGCATGATGGTAATGCAGTACATAGAATCATAGAATCATAGAATGGTTAGGGTTGGAAAGGACCTTAAGATCATCTAGTTCCAAACCCCCTGCCATGGGCAGGGACACCTTTCACTAAATCATATCACCCAAGGCCTTGTCCAACCTGGTCTTGAACACTGCCAGGGATGGAGCATTCACAACCTCCCTGGGCAACCCATTCCAGTGCCTCACCACCCTAACAGGAAAGAATTTCTTCCTTATTTCCAATCTAAACTTCCCCTGTTTAAGTTTTAACCCGTTACCCCTTGTCCTATCACTACAGTCCCTAATGAAGAGTCCCTCCCCAGCATCCCTATAGGCCCCCTTCAGATACTGGAAGGCTGCTATGAGGTCTCCACGCAGCCTTCTCTTCTCTAGGCTGAACAGCCCCAACTTCCTCAGCCTGTCTTCATACGGGAGGTGCTCCAGTCCCCTGATCATCCTCGTGGCCCTCCTCTGGACTTGTTCCAACAGTTCCATGTCCTTTTTATGTTGAGGACACCCGAACTGCATACTCCAAGTGAGGTCTCATGAGAGCAGAGTAGAGGGGCAGGATCACCTCTTTTGACCTGCTGGTCACACTCCTTTTGGTGCAGCCCAGGATAAGGTTGGCATTCGGGGCTGCAAGCGCACACTTAAGCCGGCTCATGTTCATTTTCCCATCAACCAACACCCCCAAGTCTTTCTCCACAGGGCTGCTCTGAATCTCTTCTTTGCCCAACCTGTAGCTGTGCCTGGGATTGCTCCGACCCAGGTGTAGGACCTTGCACTTGGCATGGTTAAACTTCATAAGGTTGGCATCAGCCCACCTCACAAGCGTGTCAAGGTCCCTCTGGATGGCATTCCTTCCCTCCAGCGTACCAACTGAACCACACAGCTTGGTGTCATCGGCAAACCTGGTGAGGGCGCGCTCAATCCCACTGTCCATGTTACTGATAAAGATATTGAACAGGACCGGTCCCAACATCGATCCCTGAGGGACACCACTCGTTACTGGTCTCCAGCCAGACATTGAGCCATTGACAACAACTCTTTGTGTGCGGCCATCCAGCCAGTTCTTTATCCACTGAGTGGTCCATCCATCAAATTGATGTCTCTCCAATATAGAGACAAGGATGTTGTGTGGGACAGTATCGAATGCTTTGCACAAGTCCAGGTAGATGACATCAACTGCTCTACCCCTGTCCATCAGCTCTGTAGGCCCATCATAGAAGGCCACCAAATTGGTCAGGCAGGATTTCCCCTTAGTGAAGCCATGCTGGCTGTCACCAAGCACCTTGTTGATTTTCATGTGCCTTAGCATGCCTTCCAGGAGAATCTGCTCCAAGATTTTGCCAGGCATAGAGGTGAGACTGACTGGTCTGTAATTACCTGGGTCATCCATTTTCCCCTTCTTGAAAATGGGGGTTATATTTCCCTTTTTCCAGTCATCGGGAACTTCACCTGACTGCCATGATTTTTCAGATATGCTGGACAGCGGCTTAGCAACTTCATTCCCCAGCTCCTTCAGGACCCGCGGATGGATTTCATCAGGACCCATGGACTTGTGCACATTCAGGTTCTTAAGATGGTCTCGAACCAGATCCTCTCCTACAGTGGGCCCAAGGTCTTCATTCTCACAGTCCCTGTGTCTACCTTCCGAGACTTGGGTGGTTTTGTCAGAGCCTTTGCCAGTGAAGACTGAGGCAAAGAAGTCATTCAGAACCTCAGCCTTCTCCAAATCCTGTGTAGCCGGTTCTCCTGAGAGCTTCCTTAGAGGGCATACGTTGTCCCTAGTCTGTTTTTTATTTGCTATGTAGCCATAGAATCCCTTCCCGTTATCCTTAATATCCCTAGGTAAGTTTAATTCTAACTGGGCCTTGGCTTTCCTAACCTGGTCCCTAGCTTCCCAGACAACATCCCTGTGTTCTTCCCAGGCTGCCTGTCCTTGCTTCCACTTTTTATAAGCCTCTTTTTTCAATTGAATTTTCCTCAGGAGCTCCTTATCCACCCAAGGAGGTCTCCTGGCCCTCCTGCTGCACTTCCTTCTAGTTGGGATGCAACACTCCTGAGCTTGTAGCAGGTGATCCTTACATCCTCCATTATTTTATTATTCTATATTGCAAATCTTAAACTTGCAACCCCAACATACCTATCTGTTTGGCTTTAGCATTTCATTCAGTTTTAAAATAAGCTGCTTTCTTAGGGTCAAATATTATGTCAGAAATAGCAGCAACCTAGAAATATTTATGACTTGCAGCATGACTTGTTCCTGTGTTGCAAATGTCACCATCAGAAATTATTTTAGCATGTTGAACAGATAAACCATCATGGATTAAATGGTGCAGAAGAAGCAGTAATAGTGATGACTTAATCAAAAGTGAGAAAATAGTTTCCATTTTTCTGCCAGGTTGGAGGTCTAATTTTAACAAGAGAGCAGCCTTTTGCAAACCACAGTCAAGAGAAAACTAGTAAATCAATTCCCATGAAATATCAGTCCCAATGTGGGCAATTTCACTTCCATGTAATGTTTTTTTCCACATTTTTGCACAAACAGAAGTGGTGCTTGCACTTGTAAGAATTTTGAAGCATTGTGTGTTGAGCATGGAAATTCTTTTTTTGAGGAGCACACGTGTATTTTAAGAAGTCATCATTTCAAAAATGGCATTAATTTTGATAAATTCAACCGTTAGGGCTTATGTCAATACTGCAGAATACTCCAAAGGTTTTGAGTAATTTTACACTCTTTTCAAATGCCCCCATCTGAGAATTTCAGAATGAAATATATTAAGTGAGATTACAAAAATTGTTGTGGAAAATATTTTGCAATTACAGTTGCACTTATTTGCCCTAGATTCCATGATATCATACGCTGAAAAACAGTAACAGAAGAGCCTAACTCCAGGAGTATTCAAGGCAGCCTAGTCCATGAAGATTGAAGGAATTCAATACTTCACAGGACACTCTCCAAATGCATTATATTCACATTTTCAGAGAAACTGGAGAGGAATCAAATACTGTTGAAATATCACTGTTGAAAAAAAATCTCACTCCATATAGCTCACTTCACTTGACGGACCATGTCACACTTGATAAACTTGTCACTTACCTTACATTCTGGAGAATCAGGTGTGTTTTGCTCAGCATCACAGTTTGTTTCCTCCAAATGTTTCTCTGTGAAAAAGCAGTGGCAGCAGTATAACTCTCAAAATCATATTCAGAGGCGTAATAAAACATTTTCTACTTGACATGTAAAATACAAAAAAAAAAATAAATTTGAGGACATATGTGGGCTTACACTCCTGAACTGCAAACTTAACTTTCTGTGCATTACTGTGTAGACTTGTTATGTCCCAGTGAGCAGGTTCCAAAACAAGCTTTAAAAGCTGCATATTATAGGGTCAGACACTCTAGATGGATGACAGGTAATGTATAAATGTTTTCTGAAAAGCTGAGGGAGGCAGTTTTGTTTATGAAGAATTAATCTTTCCCAGGTGTGGCCAGTACCACCTAGAGACTCATTTTCTTTCAAAGAGAAGGCATGTAATTTTACAAACCCTGATTGAAAAATACTGAGTTCCTTACCATGTTGATGCAGCAGATGCTGTTCTTGGGAATTCAGGTTTTCATCTGAGAAAGAAATATTGGCTTTCTCTGTCTCAGCAGGTGGCCCTAAAAGCACACATGTAGGTTTGTTCTGACAGGCCTCCTGCTAACCTTCATATACACAGTGGAATGTAAACTCTTTGCTTAGATTATTAAACAAAGAATCAATATCCAGTATTGACACTACATGAGGCAGTTTGAGACACTTACTACTGCGTTATTAAGTTTGCCAGTTTGCACAGTAATATAAACAATTCTGTCATGAATTGCAGAGCTGTTGCATCTCAGTCATTGCTATTTTTAAAATTGTAACAACAATCAGAGATCAGACTGAGTCGTTCGAGACATGTGGCAATGATCAGGCAGAGGAAGAAGCAGGGCATTTTAGTGTCTGAACAGACAGATTTGTAAGAAAAAAATGTGCATTTCTTGACACTCCCACCTCTAGCCACCCAGCCGCAGTTTTGGGATTTTGCTTTATCATCTTGGTGATCTTCGTTGTTTTCCAAAAAGTATTCTTCATTGTATGAATTATAGAAAATGTAGCAATAGGACAAGGGGTAATGGGTTTCAAAATAAACAGGAGAAGTTCAGACTAGATACAAGGAAGAAAGAATCAATACTGGTGGCCTCATAGCAGCCTTCCAGTATCCAAAGGGGGCCTACAAGGATGCCAGAGAGAGGCTGTTTATCAGGGAATGTAGCAATAGGACAAGGGGTAATGGGTTTCAACTTAAACAGGGGAAGTTCAGGTTAGATATAAGGAAGAAGTTCTTTACTGTGCAGGTGCTGAGGCACTGGAATGGGTTGCGCAAGGAAGTGGTGAATGCCCCATCCCTGGCAATATTCAAGGCCAGGTTGAACAGAGTCTTTGGCAACATGGTCTAGGTTGAGGCATCCCTGCCCATGGCAGGGGGGTTGGAACCAGATGATCTTAAGGTCCTTTCCAACCCTAACTGTTCTTTAATTCTGTAAGTTTTCTGCTGGTTTTAAAGGAAAAAAAGAGCTCCCTGTTGCATTTGCAATTTTAGTATGCATTTTTGTGATTGAGAGTCTATCAAATGAAGAGTTGTTTCCTTAATTGCAAATTGTTATGGATTTTCTATAAATCTATCAAAGATGATAGAACAGAACACAAAATACCAAATTACTATAGATTTAAGTGCCTTAGAAAAGTGAAGAATCTTGTTTTATAAGAGAGGTGGGTAACTGTACTATTGTAGAGTTCATAAATCTGTATCACAGGTGGATCAGATCTGGTAACCTATTTTGCAGGTGTCTTGAGAAATCTCAGAATATGCAAAGCTCATGGCACAAGGATGTGTAAGCAAGGTCCTATCAGGATATGCTTTTACCATGTTTTAGCTATACCACAGGAACTGAGAGCGCATGTAACTTTAGCTGTAGAAAATTCAAAGAAGTTTGTTCTTCAGTAAATAAACTGCTTCAGATTATAAAAGCAAACACATGACTAGTTGTTTTAGGGTCGGAAACCTGTAACTAGCTTGACTTGGAATAATTTCTTCAGGTAGTCAGATGCTAGTATTAAGATGAGTGTAGGCATACAAGTAATTCTGTTCCAGGGGTACTTTTTCAGGTCATCTTTAAAAAAAAAAAATTTATTAAAAAAAATATCAGATATTGAGTCAAGTAAATGAAACTGAAGGTCAGGCCTGACTGAAAACTGCAGCCAAATGTACACTGGAAAGTATGACTCACATTGGTAAGGCACTTTCTGTGCAGTGATGTAGATGCGATACCTATCCTTCCATCTGATGGTGCAGATGCAACCTCTGCTTGCTGAGTTTCCTTCTACTGCTGCAGCAGTTCTGGTCATGTCTTTGCAGTGCAGATGATTATTGTACTTTTGTGTTAGTTACAGTATTAAATATACTCTAGGAAAGCTGTTATATATTAACTAAGGGATATTGGTGCTGCCTGTTTCTGATTTTCTATAGATTTACTGATAGCAGTTTAAAAAGTTGGAAAGTTGGTCTAGATGATGAAGTAGTGGCTCATATTAAATAGTTTCAATCAAACCAGATGTTGAAATACAACCACTTAAAATTCCCTTTTAATATGAATTTAAAAAAAATAGAAACTATGCAAAAGACAATAAATACTTTTTTTACAGAGAACTATACATTTAATTTCTATCTTTAAGGACCTACCAAATTTTCTTCAGACTCTTAGAATCGCCATAACTGAATGCCATGTTACAATCTCTTAATAATGTTTTAAAGGCAATGAATCAATACCTTATGCTTATTTCCAAAATCAGAAGCAAGTTTTGAACTAAAAAAAAAATAATAACATATTAGCCTTACTTACTATTCTCCTGCTCTATAGGAACCACTGGATTACCATTTCTGGGGGCAGAAAAAGTGAAATATGTGAGCCATTAAGAGCTGCATGCTTTGTAAAGCACATATGAAAAATCTTTTTAGAAAGTCAGTTGTCTGAATTGTGGTTGTACTTCTATGATTTTGTTAAGGGTGTTTTCCCAAAGAGTATTTATATGAATATATAAACCATTTATATGTATTTAACAACAGTGAAACATTTTTATTTAATTTATTTATTTCCCTGGGTTGGGGAAATAAAGAACATGTTGAGCCATCTGTCCTATTATAAAACTGCTTTGTGGTATATTTTGAATTCAGCTTTGGTTCCTCCGATATAAAGTCAGAATGATCTTTTGTCAAAATGTTTGGCTTTTGTAAGTAACTCAGAGTTTTCCATCAGAGGCAGTTTCTTGCCTGTAGTTGTCAATCTAAGATTGTATGCACAAGGTTGGCGCTAGCGGAGGACTTTCCCTAGAGAAAAGGATACCTGAAAATGATGGCCAGCCTCGTGGTTAAACGTCCACATTTGTATTTGGGTGACAGTTTGGAGATATCTCATTTGTATTGTATGAGTGTACTTGTACTCATTGTGTTAGCTGTAATTACAAGGAGTGAAGATATCTTATGGATGTTATTTATCAAATGGCAATGTTTAGACCTTTGAGTTAAAACATTTTTCTTGTAGTTTGTCTTGGTTTTATTGTTTGACTTGTTTATGTAAAATTGAAGAACTTGCTTCAACATTAGGATGAAGGTTGAGTATGCTCAGATTTACCTTGTGGCTTTGATTTGGACATGCTGGGTGGCAGCTTCACACACTCTCACTGCATCATCCAGGCTAATGCCCTCAGTCCACAGTCCACAGATGTAAACAATCTGATCTCGTGGCTGCAAACTGCCTTCCACACTGGCGGGAGAGCCAGGCACTATTTCTAGCACATAAATACCTTGTAACTTGCTTCCAGCCCCTCCTGCCAGCTTCAAGCCTAGAATAATGCAGAGAAAGCATCTTTTGCAGCAGCGTGTTTTCAATTTCACTGTCAGTGACATACAGCCTAATGGAATAGATGTGGGTCATTGAAGGATAGGCTGAACAAATCACTGACATTATAAATAACAGTCACCCCAGTAATATGGGGAATAAGAGCTGGACAGGGAGAGTGAAATGCAATTAGATGCTAAAAATGTATGGAAAAAACTTAATGGTATTGTCTATCTCTACGCTTTGGCTATTCAATAGTGCTTCATTTCACCTGATGTTGAATAGTGATTTGAGTAAGACCCTCAGCTGCATAGCAGTAACTCCCTCATTACCAGAGTGCTTAAGTGCCCCGCAATCTTTAGAATGCCATAGGCAATGGAGACATAAAACAAATGAGGAGATACCTATACAGTGAAAAATGGAATTGTGCAAGAATATCCAAGAAAACTCCAAAGAAGCTAGTTTTGAACTTGAAACTGGATGCTATATCTGAGCAAATATACTTATACTGTTTCCTGAGTCTACAGTTGTATCTGTGTACAATACTCACCACATTCTGCAAAAATACCAAGATACAGTGTGGGGATTTCTTTTATCACTTGTTTTGCACAATGTAGATCAAACTTTGTGTTTATGGTTAAACAAGGATTTGAGTGGAGACTTTTTGAATAGCAAACTAATTTGTTTTCTTTCCCTCCAAAAAGATATTTATGTATCTCATCAGGTAGTAGACATTATAATGTACAACATTATTATCTACAACCAACAGTTTCTGTATATCAGTAACATAAAAATATGAGACTAGAGATCTGCAAGAAACATTAGCTGACAGGGTCATAATACAAAGATCATTTATCCAACTGGCTTCACTGGTCTAATAAGAGATATTGGTCTTCCCTTTAAGGCCTTACCCAAAATAAAGCTGTTCATCCTCATGGGTGATGGTGAAGAGCATAAAGGTGTCAAGGTCACTCAAGATCATATTGATCTAAGACCACAGTTGGCTATAATTACCTTATGATTGCTATAATCCCTGTCCAAAATAACAAGCATATATTTATTACACACCTAGCTGTCCATTGGCACCTTTGGTGAGAGTAATTTCAGGAATCTCATCTGGCCTAATAGAGGGACGTGGATCACTGTCAGCACGACCAACCACAAGGTGCAGATCAGGAGGGGAGCTTTGCAGTAAAGTCAGGGCTTGATTGCATGGTAAAGATGTGACATCAATTCCATTCACCTAAATGACAAACCAGTAAAATGATGTCATAGATCTCATTGACCATCATGTACTCATCCCTCCACTCTTAATTTTGCATATGAACTTAAATTAGTTTCACTTTCATGTTACTGCTTTGGTGTGGTATTTAATGTCAGTGAATGCAACAGTTAAGATTGCAGTAAGATTTCTTTTTTGGACTTTTGTTTTTCTAAATGGAGAGCTCTCATAAAAATAGCTCTTTTTTTTCCTTGAAATTCAAGGTCTTGTAGCAAATAACCAAGGAAGACATTCTAATACGAAAAACTGAAGATGAGCCAAACTGAAAACAGGCTTTATTCATAACTCCTATATCCTTTGTATGCAATCTATCTTATGACATTGATTCAGTTTATTGGGAAAGCATTTCATATCTCAGTTGCCTTGCATTGCTGTTAGATGAGTCATGTTATTTGCCTGGTCATACAACCTATTCAGTGTGAAACGTGTCCCGCTGAAGTCAACAGAACTACATTTATTATATGATTCATTTGCACTTGCATGCCTAAGTATGTGTTAAACTGGACTCTATGAAGGGAAGAATCCTCAATATAAATGGCATTGATCTGCAATTATTTTCTCCTCTGTATAAACTCAAAGTCAATTACTGTACCATAATGATTCTGTCTCCCCTTCTTAGTCTTCCATCAGACAGGGCAGGATCATTCAAGATTTCATCAACAAAGAGGCAAGAGTCCACTTTGTTAAGAGCTACAGAGAATCCATAACTGTTGTTCTCTGACTTTGTCAAAGTCACAAAAATCTCTGTTTCCTATTAAAATAAGCACAAGATATGTCTGTTGTAGGCTTTTCTGTTGCTTCATTAATATCTTTGATTATATGCAGTGTTTTATATGCAGATAGTAATCAGATCCGCAGATGATATGAATAAGAGCATACATAAAGGCTTCTCTGATCTGTCACTGCTTTACTCCAGAATTCATTTTACTTCTTTTTACCTAGTGGACCTTCATGATGATTGACTGATAGGGCCTAATAAGGCAGAAAATACCATCAGGGACTGGAATTTTGGTATTTGAAATGTGTAAAGTAAGGCTTGGAATACTCTGAGCTGGCAAGCATTAGAGTACTAGGGTGCAGAGATTATTATTGTTATTAATACTGCTATTGCTGTCACACTGAAGGAAATGGATGGAGATAAATTTTGGCCTTGGTGATCCCAAATTAGTATCAATTCAGAGCTAAATTAGTTTCAGCAAGAATGCAAGATGTTCAGACTGAGCCTTAGATTTTGTATAGTAATTAGCAGAAGGAACGCACTTTCTTATCAGGACATTACAGTAGTATCACTGTTACAAAGAGATTTTTCATATGGGTTTAAAACATGACAGAAAGAAACCCATGTAGCTGACTCCAATTAATTCTAGTAGCTATAGCTACTAGAGGACTGTTAGGCCTTTGTAAACTGGGAATAATACTGCAGAATTCTGGAAAGCTGCAGAAATAATAAGGTGGCGAGAGCAAGGACTTGGCCTTTAAGGCAATTGGTAAAGAATTCTGGAGAGCTGGGTGTTGCAGAAGGTCTGCTTTACTTGAGGATTCCAGACATTCAGGAAAGTAAAAAAAGCCATGCAGAAATAGCATAGATAATGAGTTGAAATTAATATTTAAAAATGTTGCATTCTTAAAAGTTGTTTCTTTTCCCATGTATTCTACCTATTAATACTTTGGTGCCTATTGCATACCTTAGTGCAATCTTCCTTTTCTTCCTTCTCTTCTTCTAGTTCCTCCAAGTCTTCCCATTCATTGTCACTGTCATGTGTCTCTCTAGCTGGCATGGATGATGAGAAGGGACCATAGGCACGTGGTTGTGGGGTCATCATAGTTGTGGAGAGTGTCTCGGAGCTTCCTCCCCATGAAAGTGAGGTCACAGATGTTGAGCTGATAACGAGATACTCTTCATCAATAGGGGTTAGAGAGAGAGCTTCAGGCATACATTTTGTGTTCAACAGGTCATCATCACTCTTATTAAATATGTGGCTGGAAAATAAAGAGATTGCAGTGCTGGGGTTTTCCTCTATATGCTTTATTAGATGGCCACTGAAAAGTCTACTACTTATACACGACCTTATTTTAACTGAAGTACTAGTTATGATATCAGATTGCTGTGTGGGTCTTCCAGTGTTACTATAAAAATAAATAAGTAATCAATAGTGGTGACCTCATAGCAGCCTTCCAGTATCTGAAAGGGGCCTACAAGGATGCTGGAGAGGGACATCAAGTACTGTAGTGATAGGACAAGGGGTAATGGGTTTCAACTTAAACAGGGGAAGTTCAGGTTAGATATAAGGAAGAAGTTCTTTACTGTGCAGGTGGTGAGGCACTGAATGGTTCCCCAAAGAGGTGGTAAATGCTCCATCCCTGTCAGTGTCCAAGGCAGCTTGGACAGAGCCTTGGGCAACATGGTCTAGGGTGAGGCGTTACTGCCCATGGCAGGGGGGTTGGAACTAGATGATCTTAAGGTCCTTTCCAATCCTAACTATTTTATGAGTCTATGATTCTACAATATTTTGCAAAGCTAATTAAAAGATTAAAAAGCTTTCAGAATTTGAAAAGAGTTTTTGCAAAATCTTGCACTTTTTTTTTTAAGACATTAATTAGTACTTTAGTTGTTTCTTGAAAAGAATAATCAGACAGTTCCTAGGCCACTGCCATAAACAACTTAATTAATGTATCTGGTCAGTGTTATGTACATTACAATACTACTACAATCTTTATATTTTGCATTTTTGTTGAAAGAGGAATGCCAGCCACACTCCTGGCTCCTACAGGTCTTTCCTTGGTAACTAGAGCACAGACCAGAAACATGAAATATGATTCTTGTCTCTCCATAAAAAAAATTCAAGTCCTGACTTCTCTTTGTAAGCTTGCTTTTATTCTTATGCTTGTCTTGAAGCATAAGATTTGTCCTACAGAAATCAATGGATTTTTCAATTACTTGAATTGAAATTGCTATTGATTTTATTTCACAACAGTGGAGATAGTGTTCAGCACTTTGGATGTTCAAGCCCAGACTATAATCGTATGTGTTGTGTTTAATATTGTTTTGGCTGTTAGCATTAATGAACTTTATAGTAGAGTTCATTACTATACCACTGAATCCCATTAAATTTAACATTAAACCCAATAGAAATGCTTGAAACACGTTTAAGTAGGTATTTTCTTTATATCAGTCTTTATTGAAATATTGTTAAACTTCATTCATCTTAATGAAGAAAACACTTAAAATGACACAACTTTTATTAATGCTTCACATAGCAGAAGCGCCATGTCATTTCATACATGTCATCTAGGAACTTCCGCTCTGATAGAACTGAAGTGTGTCTACCATCTCCAAAGCAAACATAGACAAATAAAATGAATGCATATTGTGTGTCTTGCATGAAATCACAGAAGATCTCCAGTGTTAAGTTCTTCTTTCAGAAGTTGTTTATGATCAGAAGGATAATACAAAGCACACTAGCAAAACAAACATTTTAGTTGAATATAGCTAGTAGCTCTCAATAGTATTTTGAAATACTGATGAAAATTAGAAAAGCTTGTAGGCTCATGCTGTGTGCCCTCAGTGACACAACCAATCTAGTCTGTTAGCTTATATCTTTGCGGGGAGGAATTGAGAGAAGTTGGCCATCTCGAGTATCACAGCAAAGCTAAGAATGAAGCTGACAGTTTGTGCTGTAATAGCTAGACAACAGATACTTACAGCACAAAGAAGACTGGGGCAATTGAAAGAACTGTTTAAGGGTAACAGCAAAGGCACTCTGCTCCTTTCTTTTGGAGACAGGAAAGAAAAGTATAAGTTCAATAGACATTGGTCAGTGTGGGTGTCATAGAAGCTGTCACATGCTAGTGGAGTGCTGGCTGACCCTCGGAGTGTATGAAGGTGTTTGGCAGAGCTATAAGAGCTCAAGGCAATGAGCCAGCACAGGCTTAATCATAGCACAACTTTGAGCCGATCTCCACATCACCGTGGGAAATAACATGAGTTTTGGTCCTGCAGGCCCAAACATGAGCTTCACTGCTTTTGACTTCCTTTTGGAGACTTGTGACTGTACACCTGGACTTCACAGGGAAAAAGTACAGGCTAAGGTTTTCCAAAGCAGCCTTATTGGTAGCGATAAAAAGAAGAATAAAAGGAATTTTCCATACGATACCCTGAACCAGGGATCTTCAAAATTCATATCAGAAGATATCTACATTTGCATGAGCAGTTTTGAGAAATCTGAAGGAAAGAAATTTCCTCATTAATCAAAAGGAATTCCTTCATTAATGCCTATTTCTTTTTGAGGGGTTTTTTGTATGTGTCTAGATAGAAGTTTAAACTCAGATTATATTAAAATATTCTTTAAAATGCATGCCATCTTAAACTTGCCTGCCTGCCTTTTGAAAATGCAAAAGCTGAAATTAAATGATACTGAGAATGCACCAAACAAATTTTAAAAAGCTGTATTTCAGTACTTCCTTCTTGTGAAGAATCCAATTTTTTTGTTGGAATTTATATTTTCCCACAGTAAACATAGTGTTGTTGGAACTGTATCTCTTGGCAAAGATGTTTGCTACAGACATATTTCTGTTGGTTTTACTCTAAGCAGTAGGGAACCATATAGGCAAGCAGGAGCTTCACTCATAATCGTAAGTGAAGGTTCTCCAAAGTATAAATTTCCATGATGGCCCAACTTGACTTTTGAAGTCAGCTTGGGCTGTGACTCTTGAGATTGGAAGCTCTGACGGTCTGGTTCTGCGCTTGATGAATGTCAAGAGTAACGAAAAGATTTCAAGCAACGGGGTGGAAAAACAGAAATTAGTTTCTAGATAAAATTACTAAAGCTGTAAGTTAAAGGCTTCTAGAAGACCTTTAACTTGTCTTTCCATCAATCATTTCTGTTCTGATCATTTATATTCTTTGCACTGGGAAGGATGATTAAAATGGAACAGATCATGTTTTGTGTGCCAGCGTCTGGCATATTGAAAAGGATGTTAAAGGAGGCTGAGTCTGTTTGCACCACATCTTATTGTGTAACTCCTCTGGCTGAGAGCTTCTACCATTCTACTGGCTTTCAAAGACCTGAAAGTAGTTTGTCTTTCAAGTTTGTTTTATTTTCTCTGAAATATTTTGGAATTAAAAGATCATACAATAAGAAAGAATTTTTTGGTGCCTATTTAAGTCAACTCTGAGAAAAATGAAATTAAGAGATCATATAATAAATGAGAAAGTCTTTGGTTCCCATTTAAGCCAACAAGAGTCTTTCCACTGATTTCCAGCTGCAGCCAGCTTCTCCTGAACAGCATCAATTATTACAGTAGTGCAGCACTCATACAAATATCTTGAAATGCAGACTTACTCAAAAATCTTATAGATGAGAGTAAATAGAGACAGCAGGTTAGGATAATCAGAATAAGATGGTAAAGCAAAATCTTCAGTAATCAACAGTGATTACAAGCACATAGTTCTGTACTTAAATCCAAGCAATTCACTCGCAAAATTGAAAGAGCCAAAGGAAAGGCTGCAGAGCAAATTTCAGCATTCCCTACCTTTTGGCCCGTCCAAATTCACATGGTGAGTAGCAGTTCTCCTTCATTTCTTCCTCGAGGAAGTGAAAGACTTCAGAACTGGCAGCTTCTTGATCAAACTGCCAAAGATGCTTATAGAAATGTTCCCTGGAAGTCATAAGTTTCTGTATGGGCTTCTCTGGAAGTTCAGCTTCTTGCTCTTCGTAAGTTGAACTGTCTTCCTCAGGAGGCTCACTGAAATCTGCTGCCACTGGAGAATCCAGGCAGTCTTCGAGGTCTGGAGAGGTGCTACCTCCATCACTGGTTGACTGATCCATACTATTTCCTAACTCTGTACTGCCTGGTGTTTCTGCCACGAACTCCTTAACTGGAGATGGTGCTGGAGTCTACCAAAGTAACAGAAAGGTTAGTGTAACTACATTTTATCTCCCATCTTCTTTAAGAACAAAATAACTTGAAGAAGCAGCATCAATAAGCATGTGAATGTGAATATATGAAATGGTAGCGGGGAGGGGAAAAAATAAGAGGGGAGGTACTTTTACTAAATAAGTGTTCAGTCTTTATGCTTTTCTTCCATATTCTGCAGGAGTTCCTGCCAGGACACTACTACACAATTCCACTTTCCGCAGTATTTTTTTTTTTTTTTGCTAGAGGTGGCCCTTTTTAATTTCTTTTCATATCATGTCTCAATTTGTGTCTATATTTTCTTCATTGTGTAGAAGTAGCTTCCAGATTTGACTGGTGTGTGATTGACTGTAGAAAACAGTCAAGAGCACACAGCAGGAGAGCAACAGGAGCCAGTTTGCTATCTGGAGATGGTCCTGGCTGTAATTTCTGTCTGCCTATGGACAGCTCTTATAAATCCTGGAGGGACAGGAGCCATAAATGGGCCATTCTGCTACAGTAATACAAATGCATGTTCATTATAAGAATACTTGTGTATGTGTTTATGAGTTGTGTTGAAGAAGAAGGAATAATGATACCACAGCTAATGGCATTGTTTTAGTCTCTGCTGCCTCTAATGTTTGCGTTTTTTCTCCCCCTTCCTCTCCACAATTCCCCCACTTCTCCCCCCCCGCCCCCCCCGCAAATTCTGCTATCAATAAGAAGCTGAATAACCAGTTGAAACCATAATATTTTTAAGTTTACTAAGAGGTAGCCTGTAAGGGAAAAGTTATTTAGTTTCCTCTTACTTTTGGGAGTAATACAGCTACCTCAAGCCCACAAGTTGTAATAGCTGCAGTTGAGAATACTGTAGGTTTTGGCTGAGGATTTAGTAGAGCATTTTTAGAAGCATCACTAGAATATCTGCTGGGGTATGTGCTGTTTCACTCCAGTGACAGTACTGTAATTAAAAAGTTGTTGGACTGGGATAAACATGTTTCACATCTGTCAGATTTCTATTATTTTGATTACTAAGGAAGAAACAGTTGAACTTTAGAGCTCTAGTTGAAGCTGGGAAGGGAAAGAAATGGAATAAAGGGCCTTCAGGAAAATGGAAGGTTGCCTTATTCAAAACTTGATAGAAAAGGTATTGTTTTTCCAACTTTACAGAAACAAGCTTACTGATGGAAGCTTTGCCTTACCATGGCACTCTGCTCTATTTCTGGAAGAACACCTTTTGGTGGTCTGCAAAGTAGTAGTATGACTTCTGAAGGAGCTCCTCTCAACAAGTGCAAGACATCCTAAGCAGGAGGAAGGAATATTATCTTTCTTATGGAACACAGTCTTTTGTACATGTCAATTTACCAACTGGGATGGAGACAATTTTTATAGAGAATGCCCAGTTTCTAGTATTTGTGTCTCTCAGTTGTGTCTGGGGGACAAAATTCACCACTGTATGATTGTCATATAAGTGGACCGTAGTTTTTATGTGAGTGTGTATCTAAAGTCAAGTCAGTTCTATTTACATATTTTTGTTCCACCAATAAACACGTAAGTTTAAATTCTTTTCTTGAAGAAAACAGGATTTTCAGGCAAATTCATTCAAATTGCATGTGGCAGTGACACATCTTCTGTCAGTTGTATCAGCACACCTCTACAGACCGCCATATTAATAAAAGGGAGACTTTCTCAAAGCCCCTCCTTGACATAATATCTCTTCAGTGGCATTCAGTTTTTAGCTAAAGTGAGAGACAAAATACTTAATATGGGAGGAGGGGAGGGGGGGAATGATGCTTTAGGCAAAAACACCCTGTCTGTCCCTCTGCGCAAACTGAGTAAAAAGGCTGTATGTCAGAAAGCAAGACACTGCTGGAAAGGGACAAATTCCAGGTAAGAAAAAAAAAACAACAAAATGGAGTACAATTACAGCAGCTCTCCAGGTGTCTGGGACTTACAGCACCTTGCCTTTTGCCCTAGCTACTTAATGATACAGGTGACATGCATTCCAAATTATATGATTTCAATGTTTCTGTTTGTTACCAACTTCATCTATTGGTATATGCATATTCACATACAAAAGTGGCATTTTTCATAAGGCAAACAGTTTACAAAGAAAAAAATAAATCCACATGCAGTCCTTTCTTACCATTTAATTTCTTCATAGAAATAATTTCTTATTCTAGGTAAGAAAGTTGAACTGGACTTAGCTCATGCAGTAGAGATCTGAATCTGGGGCACGGCATTGCAAAACACAAATGACCATGGGGAAAAAATGTTCCAGCTATGCAGAACAGCAATAAAGAGTCCAACTAATTAACAACTGGTGTGCATCTGACAATAGACTTTGTGCATCAATAGTAGAAAGTTATAAACTAAATAACAAAGAAATTCTGTTAGGGAGGGTATTCTCCTTAAGAATTGTAGAGAATAATCCTACATAGAAATCAGATTAACTATATGCTAATTCTGACTCCCTCTGGTAAGAATTAAGTTCAAATGGAGTTTTCACCCCATTGTCCTTATTATCATGTTACCTATCTGGAGTTCCAGTGATAGTATTGCCTGGTACCTGATACAGGAGTCCTTGAATAGGCTTCCCATTCACAGCTAAAATGATGTCTCCGACTTCAATTTCGCCATTCTCTTCAGCTGGCTGCCCTGGAAACAGTCTTTTGATCCTGATGATAGATCCTCCGAGGTGTTTGCAACCATCTCCTTCCATTTGCAGAACACTAAAGCCGAGGCCTCCCAAATTCTTTGTTAATTTGACTTCAAATATATTATCTGTTCAAAGTGGGGATTAGAAAAAGAGTGGGAGATGTGACACACAGAATCATAGAATCCCACATATGCAGCTGATGTAAATTATACCCTCAGCAGTCCTTTCCCTTGTGTCCTGCAGAAGTATATCTACTGGTAATAATGGCAAAAGAAGGGTTTGGTATTGCTTTAACTTATGTGAGCCCTTGAAATAGCACGTGTAGAATGTGGATAACTGGATTCTGTTTCACCATGTCTTCACAGACTTTATGCCATCTGCTACAAGCTCATAAAGGAAGAAGTCTTTTGTGCCAACAGTAAGGTTCAAATGCTATTCTTTTCTGACATTCTTTCTGTAAGTGTTGAGTATATCTTACTACTGTGTTGATACCTGATGTTAATTTGGGTCCTGCAGTAACCAGCATAACCTAGAATAAAATTTACTGCTCTTCCCAGACAAGAACAAGAGACCAGACTTTTTCCAAATACAGTATTTGCAGCTGAACCCCATTCTGCTAGGGACAATGTAGAGAAGTGTGCCCCACGAGAAAGCATGGTGTTTAGGAGGCAGCCTTACAGTAAAAGAAACAGCATTTATTTGTTGGCTAAATTCAGTGAGAGTGATCTCTGAATCTTCTGCTTTTAAGAAATAGTGCTGGCACTCTCCAGTCCTGTTCCTGGGGCAGCAGTTCACCCTGGCTTCATCACTGACATAGGATGAGCAGTTGTGCTGGCGGTCCTCCCTTTGTGTATCAACCTGGCAACATCAACACAGCTGCTTCATGCCCAGTGGTGCTGTAGAGTACAGACAGGGATGTCCCCTGCCAGCTCCAGCTCATGACAGTACAGTATTTATGACTAAGATAAATTCAGTTATATCTAACAACTATAACTCTAAGTACATCAGAAATATTTTGTTTGGGATTGATTTTTTTATAATGTCATTAATATTGCACATTATATGTTTATTCAACATGCAGTTTTCCTTCCAATCCACAGAAATTTCACAGGATTATTTTCATTTATTCCTTTCTTGCACACTTTAAAAGTCACCCTGAGATCTTTTTTTTTTTTTTTAATCACTCACCATCTGTCAAAAAGCAGTAGTCCTTGATATCATCTGTGAAGGATGTCGCTACAGAAACAACTGCGCATTGGTCCTCCTTTCTGTCATTAACAGTCAGGCATGGCTCTGCCGATTGGTAGTTTCCCCGTTCTAGAACCAGCTTGGCAATCTAAAAGAATGATGAACAGGTTCCAGTTACACAGTACACAGTGAGCCCTAAGTCTTTTCTTTTTACTTTTGCTTTTATAATAGAGTTGGATGGGGGAGGGGTGCAGTTTCTCCTCGTCCAGCTTTGCTACTGTGCTTCATATTAAATGCAGTTTAGTCTCCTGGGTATCTTACTGAGCTTTGCTGTTGTACAAACCTGGCCAGACTTCTTCAGGTGTTCCACAGCCTGTTTGTGAGTGATGCCACAGAGGCTGATGCCGTCCACTTCCAGGAGACGATCACCTGAGGCAAAACAAAACAAAGAAGCAAACAAAAAAGGGTTCAAGTTGCTTTGATGTCTAAGTTCAGTGGGTGTAAACCTTGAGGCTACCCATGATGCAACAGACCTTCATGCTTACAAGTGTCAAACTATGCTACTTTGTATGAAAGCAATACTGCTTGTTGTACAGCGTTCTATACCTAGCACTTAAAACATACCAGCATATTCTGTAAGTAAAATGCAGTGATAGTATCTGGTTATCATAGCAGCTTCTGAAAGTAGATGTTAAAGTCACTAGCCTGATGTGCAGCTACGCAGAGTAACTGTACAATGTTGGTATGAGGCTCCTGTTTTTTCCATGGGATGTCTATAGGTAGTACTGTGACTGCCTGACGAATAATGGACTACATATTACGTTTCACAGTAGTATGATCTCCGATCCCAGATGGGTTTCATTGTCCCTATGGCAAGCATTCCTCGCTAACATTGACTTCTGCAGCCCAGAGTTTTCTTGACAGACATGTTACCTATCTTTATTTGTCCATCTTTATCAGCTGGTCCCATGGGAATAATTGACTTCACATATATCCCACCGTGGCGTACGCTAGTGTTAATTCCACCCTGCAAAACATACACCTACAGATTAGAGTCTTTACATGACAAAATCAAAGCCATTTTTACATGCATTGCAAAACAACTGCTTCAGGAATTACATTTTATATAAATATAGGAAAAAAAAAGGAGAAGAGTACGTTACTCCAAAGTCCCATCTAGTTGTAATATACTTTCCTAAGCAGTAATTCTGTTTTTTTCTCAGGAAAATGCAATGCATTTCCACTTGGCTATATAAAAACATTTACTAAATGTTCTTAATTTTTTCCCTGTGCTGACATAAAGAAGATGTTGCATCTTTCAGTCAGTCACTATCCCAGATTCCACACTATGCAATATCCATGCAGTTATTACTAATGTTTCAGCCAATACACAAAGCATGGACCTGAACTTGTGCAGCCATGTGCGAACTGCCAGCTCAGAGGAATACCAGATTAATCCAAGAATCATGTTCTGCCCATCTGCACGCCCTGGCAAAATTTAGATGAAAAAGCAGCCCTCAATTTCTCCTGCAGGTAATGAAATGGCTGTTGCTTCCAACTCCGTTTCAACAAAGACTGTAAAGACATCTCAGCCTGGAGGGGTAAACTCAACTTCAATAGCCAGGACAAGGAAACATTATTCAAATGTGCCAGATGGTTTTCATTGCTGCCTTCTCTGGTCCTCTGAATATACAGTCAACTGTATTTCCTTATATTAGGAAATAAAATTGGCCATGGCCCTTTCTCTGGCCTCCAGAGTAAGAAGCATGATGCCATGCCTGAGTCCACAAGCTAAACTTTCATCATGGGATGGCTTCTGTTATTCTACTTGTTGAGGCACAGGCCAAAGCCCTATTGAGGGCTGTCAACAATTAAACAGATCCCATGCCACAGTCCTGTACAACCTGCTTGTACAGACACAGTCCTTGAGTTCCAGGAGCTGTAGGGGAGCAGCAAAACCAGTCATGACTTGGAGAATTCTTGAATTGCTGCATTTTCTAGAAGCCCTGGCAATATCCCTTGCTGACCAAACTCAGTGGCAGGTCTTGTTCTCAGACTGAGTAAGGTTGAAAAGGGCTTGTGCTGCCATGTGCTTTAGTCTGGCACACTTTCACAGCTTCTGCAGGCAACCACTGGGGTATGAGCAGAGCATGTACTTTATGCTTTCTCAGTCAGTCAATTGGGCAGTTAGGTTTGAAATGTGCCATGAGAACATCTTTTGTAATCAGCCTATCTCCTATCTCTGTTCTACATAAATACACTTCTCTGTGTGTTTCTTGGTCATTAACATTTGACAGACACACTGAAAGACTAACAATAACACTTGCAGTCACACTGATTCCAAAAGTTCCGTCTTCTTTAACAAGCTCCACAGTATAAATTTCCTTTGAGTTAGTTTCAGATGGAGATGGTAAGTGCGAAGAATCAGCTTCCTGTCCCAAAAATATAAACAGTAATGAGAGTGCAGCATCTCAATAAAAAAGGAGAGCAAGGAAGAACAAAAAGGAGAGTTTCCAGGAGGGTTTGATCCTGCTGACACTGTAAGCCTGGAGCAGTAACATTTATATCCCTGACACTATTTCAAGCTTACAGTAATGTTTCTCAAAATATAATCTAAATGTGCATATGCTGAGTAATGGGGAGGTTGTCTAATAGTGGAAAATTAGACACAAATTGTTGCTGTTCTCTGTCAGGTTGAAAACTTAAGAAAATGCAAGGAGACAATCGAAATTTTGTACCCTCACTGGAAAAGGGAGGAGAATTTTTAATAACATTTTCTGGAACAGTTTCCCTATTTTCTTTCACATATTCTAGACATGTCTATCATCTTGACATTTCCAATGTAATTTAGCAAGCGACATCTTCCAAGGTTTTCTTTCTCCTTTATTTTTTGTTTTTAATTTCTTGGTTACTTTCTACGCTTAACAACAAGCTGGCATGTTGTTAAGACACATACTGGGCATAAAAGTACTGAACTGCATCAGAATCTCGGTTACCTCCACATCCAGGCTATCAGCTGAAGGAACTGGAATCCTAGAGTCCACATTTGGTACTAAACTCCAGGAAAGGGCCTTCTCAAGTTCATCTACATTTCTGTCCTGTTCTTTGGGGAGGGCTGTATGACAATCCTGAATCTTTTTTCTCCTGTTGTCTGCACAGGAGATCTCAGATCCACTAGTGCTGTTTCCTCTTGATAGATTCTTTTCTTCATTTAGTCCTTCTTCACATATGTCTGTAAAGCCATATCAAAATAAAGCATTGCTGAATGCAAACAGTAAGTAAACTTGAAGGCAAATACTATTATACCTCAGCACAGGAGGGCAAAATAACTTCCTACACCAGGTGGTTGTGAAATCAGATCTATAAAATGAGTCGGTCATTTTAAAGTGGAGCTCTGCTATTATGAATGTGGAGAATGTGTTTGCTTTATCATTGCAGAGGACTGTTTCTCTATGAGAGAAAGAAATGAACAAAATCCCTTGGTATTCAGCAAAGCAGCCAATAATAGATCTTTTCACACTGACTGTAGAACACAGATCACTTGATACCTACTAGAAGCTGACTGTTTTCACTGCTGAACTATGGTTATTATGACAGGCACTGAGCAGCAAGAAAGTACTACTACATCCCAGCACCTAATAAGTACCAGCGTCCTGAGTTAACTATTTGCATTCCGTAGGCAGGAAAGGCATTTGCCTTTATACCTTTGGGTTGAGAGATGATGAGCTCCACTTCATCAGGAGAATTCTGTATGATTTTAACTGCAGTATTAAATGAAACACCCTCAAGACTAGTATTATTCACAGAGATGAGTCGTCCTCCTTAAAAAAAGCCAAAAAAAACAAGAAAAAAACCACAATGATAAAACCAAGACAGAGGAAATCTAAACAGAGACATAAATCCAGAATAGCTAACTTTAAATCACGAAAGTATTTTAATTCTAATTAAAAACTAAGGACAATGACCTGGTTTGATATTTCCAGCTCTGTCTGCAGGTCCCCCAGGGATAATTGAAGCGATAAAGATACCGAGGTCTAATTTTCCTACATTTTCTCCTCCAATAATTACAAAACCTGCAAAAATGAGATAGCATGAGAATGCAGAGACATTGGCATTATTAGAAAAGATAAACCTTAGAAGCACAAAAAGCTCTTGCTCTAATGGCTTAAGTTTTATACATGGTCTGGAGAATGGGGAACTCTGATTTACATGGCATTTGTAAAACAGGTAAAAAAAGGTCTTGATTTGGAAGAGCTTTGAATTTGTATTATATTATAATTAAAGTGTGCTGGTGAATTCACTGGTATGTAAGTATAATTTCTCAATAAGAATACCTTCCCGCCATGGGACTTTCAAAGATTCCAGCTACTTTCTTACAAGAGTCATAAACTCTTGTATGTGGACCTTAGTATTTAACACCTGCAGAAGTAAAATGGTATAAAAGCTCATTTAATAAATTAGACATTTTTCTGCATCATGTAGTGTAGGGCCTGTCAGGTGGGCCATGTAAATTTCTAATGGAAATGTAAAGTATATCTAAGAAAATTAAATCTATTGTCAAGGAGTTCAGTTTCACTATCCTAGTTCAGAATATTCTGCTTATTGCAGAATATATTCTTCTTTCTGGTAGCATAGTTGTGTTTGGGATGAGGATATTCCACACAGACATGCACCATTTAGAAACTTAATGCTTAATTTTGTTAATGGTCAGCTGTGTAACATGATGGTCCTCTGAACTTATCCACAAGAACAGGATAGAGTGCAGTAATGTATTATATAACAAAAAATGTTGTCTGAGTAAGAATCCAAAAGTCAGGAAACATTAATGTTAAGCTTGTGTACACATTTTGCACTTCCACAGGCATTACTTAAAAGGTTTGCAGAACATGATCTCCCCCTGTGTAATGTCTAAGATAAATAAAATCACTGAGCTTGCATTTCAGATACAAAAATAGACCATTTTTCCTTTCACTGTACTCTTAGCACTTGGTCCCCTTGACCTCTGTGGCCTTAGTTAATCCTCTGAAAAAAATGTGGTCTTGATTTATGTGCTTAGTTCTTTTCAGTCTCAGAAATTCTAAGTCCTTCACAAAGACTGGTAGTTTTATTCTATAAGAATAAATGAGGTGAAGAAGGTTACAGTCTTGGCCAGGTTGAGTCAGCAACTATCAGTGTTAGCACCAGGATCTGAAAGTCTCGGTAACAAACGCAACATTCGTGTTCCTTACTTACCAAATCCATTCTTAGGGTCACGTTTTAGGTTGACACAAATTATTTCCCTTTCTAAACCACTTAGTAAAACTTCCTTTTGGATGGCTGGTGATCCAGGTGCTGCAGAAACAAAACAGCTAGAATAAATGGAGATTAATGCAGGGAGACAATAGATTCATATAGTATGAAAAACTGGGGCTTCAAAATGAAAAATATATTTTGTCCTTTTCAACATTACCATCACTTCTGAAACAATGTAACTCGAAGGAAGCTCAAACAAGTGTCTGAAAATTTGTATTCTGTAGAAAAGCATATGTACACTAGCTGTGTAAATTCTTCCTATAATGCTCCTTCCTGGGAGACTATGCATTTATCTGCAATAGTTCTAAGATTAGGACATCTAAAGAGAGAGGCTTGTAGTGCCCATTGAACATGAGGGTGATTTGGAGACAAAATCTCCTATGGATTCCTTTGGAAACTCTAGACTTTGTCCCTGAGGGCCCTTTTGTCTCTGTAAGTGCAATCCAATCAGCACTGATTAGGATGGTGACTTTTTTAGTGTTAACACTACTTAATATTGTGCAATTGCCACAGCATGTCCAAAATACAGTTCTAATTTTAAAATGGGCCAAACAAATAATCATAGCTTTGTATTTCATACATCTCCTCACTTGTGCATCCAATGTTAGACAATTAGGTGTCCAGATCTTATTCTAGTTTGTGTCATACAAATGCAAGAACAGAGGAAGGACCTGGAGCCTACGTCATCTCATACATTATTTATTGGGTTGTAGATCTTAATTGCAAATCAAATGATGACCTCTGAGCATTGGGGTATTGACTCATGCGAGAGTCCTGGGGATACTGAACCATGTTTCTGAAGAGCGTTAGGCACCATTGATAGAGTAATTATATCATTAAGTCCCCTACCACTAATCCTGATGGAAAGCAGGTGTGAAAGGGAAGAAAAGAGCTTGTCTTGCTAAAATCTAGGTTAATTGCCAGGACTAGAAGTGCAAAAGGATATTCTTTAATCTGTAAGTAAAATATATTTCGGTCTCCTGCTATTAAAACAATAACATGGAAGGGTACTGTCTCTATGATTATTATACTCACCATTGATTGTGTTCTGAGTTGAATGGGTAGACAGGTAGTCATAACTCCTTTGCTTTCCATTCAAATTGATGTGCATTTCTGACTGGGATAGTCCTGATGTGGATCTGCATGGCAGGAGGTAAAGACCTCATTACAGGAACAAATCAGCAATGGTATTTAGCACTCCTCATTGTCATTACTCTGTCAGAGCCAAGTTAGGAACACGTCTTTATAGCCTTTCAATGATTATTCTGATTTCTGGGCCGCATTTCATTGTAGAGTAGAGGTAGTCTAACCTTGCCAGCATTAGTTTCCAAATAACAGCTGCCATTAGACCACTCACATCACGACTGATTTAGCCTTGTGTATTCTTTGAGCTGGGTGCAGGCATCAGGAAAACAGAGCATAGTCTCAGCATGATTCATTTAGCCCTGCTGTCCATTTAAACAAAATCTTGTCTGAAACTTTTCATACTAGTTCCTGTTCTTCTTGGCTCTATTCTCAGTATTCTAAAAGGAACTAGAATTCATCAACGGCCTTGAGACTGTGTGCAGCCATAGTAACCGCCTACACTGGTGAATGTACCAATGCAAATGAAAAGGGAGAAGTTCTTACGCTGTTCTCTGTGATTTGCACCTTTAGACAAGGAGGAATCAATTAGGCAAGACCTGCTCAAAAACAGCTTCCAATGTGCATTGAATTCACATACTGCCATTTCCAGAGAAGATACAGATACTAAAGATTTTTATTTTATTCTCCCTTATTTTTATCCCTCTCCATAACCCAGTAAGTGGTTCATTCCTGAGTCTAGTACAAATTTAAATGTCATTCTTTTTGAAGTTCTCTGTTAAGGGATTAGCTTCCTGCCTGTGTTTGTGCTACTGCTGGCACCATGGAACCCCAGGACTTTTGGTGTGACCACAATAAAGGCTGCAAAAATCCCCATCTGCCTCACAGCTTACCATAAACGTTTGCAGTGATAGTCCATGACTGAGTATTCTTATACATGTTTAGAGGAAAAAGCAAACCCACCTGCCAAGATTGCTTTTGTGTCTAGTCCTGTTGCTGGTTTCCACACTGAGGTTATCACAAGATTTGCTCATCATCCCAGCAGAAAGATTTTCCAGGTTTGCTCCATAGAGCACATTCTCTGAACGAGACAATCTCTGAATCAGGGCAAGGTGTTCATGCTGAGCTGCATATGCAGAATTTGATTTGTCTGTTTCCACAAATTTACTTTCCTCTTAATAAGAAGGGAGAGAGAGGGAGGAAGGAGAGATAAATCCACTGATAATTTCCCATCTTTTTAAGCTCTAAGGCACTTTCTGTCTAACCTTTAGAAAATGCCAGCAAAAAAAAGCTTAGCATCACAGATATATTTGTTCTGGTATCCTTGGGGATACCTAGGCCTTGGAGAGGGTGGAAAGGGTTTCCAAATAATTTCTGTCATAGAAAGGATATGTTGGAGTTAGATTTCATTTCTATGAATTATACTTTCCACAAACAGATGAAATTGACAATCCTGTATAATTTAAACCTGAATATTTCTGTAAAGCATACTTTGGAAACGTTCAGTGTATGGAGAAATACCCATCTGTCAGAGAGTGAATTAGTCAGGTTGGTAGTTTCCTGTCCTTCATGGACAGGACACCACTCTGACATATATGTATCTGAAAAGACAGGAGCTACACTAACACATGCTGTCTTAAATTCAGAGAGCGACCAAGGAGCTGGCTGTTTGCTCTAAGTGATTTGCACAAGTTGAATAAGGGGCCATATCGATGGCAATGCTTTCTATCCAATTTTCCACCTCTGTGTGAAATCTACTACTTGCTTAATGACATCTAGGCTCTGCTATGTACAAATCTACCCTCTCAAAAGATTTAATTTCCCTGAAACAAGATAGTGCTGGGGGAGGGATTGTTAATTTATTTAGGTTCTCAGCTGGTGGGCTGGACAGGGGATTTGAAGGAGAGAGGACAGTAGGCAATAGGAGGGATGCTGGAAAGTAAAACAAGCTTGGTATAGGTTAGCAGAAATACAGGCTTTAATTGTGCTTATACATGACAGCTGACCTGCCATGTGTTTTCCTAACAAGTGTTAGCCTGAATGCAACTTTCTAGAATGCTACTGTGAGGCATTAAACTGAGGCTCCCTCTTTCCGCAGTGACTTTGTTCAGGGGGCATTTGTTGAGGCATCAGAAGGCTTAACTGTCCACAGTCTCAGCGCAGTCTGAGAGTTGCCATGATAATTTTAAAGTAGGGGGTTGCTAGCAATTTTTGGAGAGATGGTGACTTGTACATTTGAAGAGTGCAGCAGAAACAAGTTTCCTTCATGAAGAAAGAGCCTTATAATGTCTTACAGCCCCACAGTGGTGACTAAGGCAGCATTTTGAACTACTGTCTGTCATTGCCTTCACAAAGCCTTTATTTCTGGGACAGCAAACGCATATCAAACCTCAGAACCTGCAGTCACATGGCTTGTGTAAGTCTCACTTTTTTCAGTGGTTGGAGGGGGCTTATAATCAAGATTTGGGTTATAATTTTCTCAGCTCTCATATATGGAATGTAGTAATTTTTGTTAAGATATGCTACCACAAGCAAATGTGACACAGGAAACTTTAAGATTCACTGTTAGCACTCATTTGTATGCTACAGATCACAGTCCCACTAAGTTATGTTTGAAGCTGAAGGAGCACAAGCAACAAAAGATGCTTTGAACCTAAATGTCATCCTAGCGCCTTTGCCATGGTAACAAATACGTACAGGTGGAATTTCACTTTCATGAAATAATTTTAGTGGGAAAGAAGCCATATATCAATCATCCTGTTATATTCCATGATAAAATTTTTTGCCTATGCTTTTCCAGTTTTACTAGAGAAAGGAGTATCCCATCAGATAAGGCATGACACTTGACTCTCCCGCTATGACTCACTGGGTCAAATACCCAGTAGCTGTAAATGATAATGATTCTGTTCAAAACAGTGGATGAGCTAGTGAAAACTCATGTTGATCCACTGAAGCCAAGAGTCATGACAGTTATCAGCTTAGGCTATTTTTTCTTATGTGCCTCAGTTTCCCTATAATGATCCTCACGATAAGAAGTGCTATGTAACTGCCCTAGTTGAGCATAATTTGTCTTTGAAACTAGAAAATCTGAAGTTTAAGGAGGTATTAGTCATATCTTCCACAGACATGGCAAAATCTAAGATAAAAGCAGCTAGCAGCTACATAGTTGAGTGAGTATAATGGATGTGCCTTGGGTTTAGTGGTTTTGACCTTGGACTGAACCATACAGCTGAACCCCTGTCTTATGCAAAGATGGCTAGTTAACTAAGCTCAGCTCCAGCACATCTGGGCACTACTATATTTATTCATTTTGAGCAACATTTCTCAGGATACAGTTGGAGTAAGCTTGATATGTTTCTTCAGATTTCTCAGCAGATTTCCTGAAGGGAAGTATCATGTTTGTGGTTTTTTTTTAATCTGGGTTAGCTACATAGTTTTTATCATCAGAGAACCCCTCTCCACCCCCTGCACATGCCCACTCTCATCCAGAGACTAAACTAGACTTACACATCTCTAAATTCTAGTGAGCTGGAGACATTATTTTCTATTCTGCAAATGTGAAACTGAAACAGAGTGAAACTGATGTGGCATGTTCTGATTCTCAGCTTCACTGAATGCACTTTTTCTAATAGCTAACTTTGTCCTATATCCTAAATAATGAAAAGTGCATTTATACCTCACCTGATGATGTTTGCCGAAGTTGCCTAGAGTTCATCTGTGCATTGAATTTGTGCTGGGCAGAGCAGAGGTCCAGTAGATATTTACATGTCTTTGCTGTATCAGTAATGAAGGTGTGTTTCTTGCCACTGAAGCTGCTTTCAATCATGAACTTTTTTCTCTAAAAGGATAAAAAGCACAGCTTGCTTCATATATCAGTCATTACAATGAGGCACTGAAAGTTCATTTTACATAATCTTGTTGGTTTGTCCAGTTGTATTTATGCCTGGTTTCATGCCTTTGAGTACAGTAAATACCTATCATAAATTCAGCAGTTGTTACTGAGGTGGCAGTCTTCTACCCTATGTCAAAAGTCAGGAGCCTTTGGACATTGACTACGTTGAGAGCAGGTTGATAGAACTGGCAAAATTTGGCCTTACAGATGTTAAAATAATTAAACCAATTTAATGTAAAACCAAAAATATCTTCAAGGGGAAGAAAGGCCATCCTGGGAGAGCAGGCAGGCTGGGAAATGTATGATGCAGGTTGACACCTACACTGTACGATGGTAGATTGATATACCTGTGATGGCAAAATAGAATTTAGAAGGGATCACAATCTTGTCACCAGTACCAGTTTGTTAACAGACATCAGTATACCAGGAGATGAGGATGGAAATAATGAGATCTGGAAAGACGGAGATGTGATCCCATGACCTGCTGTGGGTAGGAAAACAAAAGGAATGGGGTGGGGGAGGGAATGGGGGGGGGCGAAGAGAGAGGGGAAGATGGGAATGAATAGGGAATGTGCCATAGAGAGATTTGACATAGTCTCTGTAACAGTCAACACCAGGTTATTCAGTTTTATAGTAATTTGACTCCAGCCTTGGCAAAAAACCTCCAGATCTAAACCTCACTGAGAGCTGGGTATCTTGGTAACTACATCCACATCCAGCCTCTATTTTAGACTGTTTTCAAAAAGGACTTGCTTGTACAGAATGAGTTTAATTCTGGCTCTGAATGCAATATTTATCAAAGTGACAGGCAGAAGGGGAGTAATGTGGTAGAGTGGAGAAGAGAATCACTTGGTTCCAACTCACATGAGCAGAAATTCTCTCTGTTTCACGCCACTGGAATCTTAAACTGGCAATTCTTGTTTGATTTTTAACCTCATAAACAATGATGCCTTTGGCACAGATTCCCAGGATGATGTCCCCTGCTGCTCCTTTCTTCTCTTGGGAAACACGGTAGAATAAGACTCCATATTCAGGAAGTTGCTGAGTCACCTTGTAGAGAAAAAGTGCATTTACCAAGCATTACTCAAAAAGAGGCATGGGAAGAAGAGGTAAGTAGCTGAAAAAGGAAGTGGTTTTGAGTCTCTTTACTCAGTATTCTTTCACTCTGTCAAGAAACCTTTGAAAACCCTTACCAAATTTTCCTATCTGCTGCCTCACAGAATCATCCCTTTACTTTTGGTATGTCATAGGACCATTACATGCATTCATTTTCCATGCATAAAATTGAAGCAACACTTTCACACGTAGCTCATTTGAAGAGGCAGGAGGATTATATACCTTCCTCCACAATAATCTAAACATTACATTGCCACTGAGGTATTCAGCATTACTGCTACTTGGCACTTGTGTGCATTTCTGAATAGAAATCCATGCAGGATTAGCGCTGCTTGACTACTGTTAAACCTTGTTTCATTTCATTTTCTTTCCTGTGTCTGTTTTCCTGAGCAAACCCAGAAACCATGAAGTACAGCAAATATGACGGTCTTAGTAAAACTGCTAATATTTTGGTGCAAGGGGCACTCTGACATTTTTATGGGCTTGTGTGGTTTCCTTTCAACAATAGTGACATCCAACTGGACAGTGACACTACAGCTCCCTGCCTGCAGCTATCTCACACATATGTCCATATAGGTACATATGTCCATTCCTTCATGGCCATCATCTTTTAAAATCAGACATTATAGATTTCTGTTGCCAAGGTCTTAAATTATAGGGTTTGCTAATTTGCCCCTTAAATTCCCTCACCCAGATATAGTGGTGACTTTTGAGGGAATTTCAGTGTCCCAGAATTCCTTTCGGTGCCAGACTCTATAGCAGGTGTCACTTCTTTCTTGCACAATGAACATTGCTAGGCAAAACATTAAGTAGGAATATACTTCAAGGTACTGAAGAGCCAGCTTGTGCCCCTGCCATCTGTCTGTACAGAGGATACTCTGAGGAACTCACCCAGAGGTTCTGGGTTGTTGCCTTTGTACCTCCTGCACTTGGCAACAAAATGTTAAAATATGACTCAGACCCTTTACAGAACTGTGGAATATGAAGAGGGTTTTTCGTTCTCTTTTGTGATCTGCAGATCAGTAAAAGTGTATTCTACAGCTTTTTTTTTTTTTTTTTTGGGGGGAGGGAGAAGCTAATGTAGAATCCCCATATTACTTTTCAGTAATGAAAAGGGATTTTCAGCGATGAAAAATAAAAGAAAATAAGTTTTTCAGAAAGCATCCAGAGCACAAATGTTTAGGTCCTGAAAACTAGGGCATCTATAATTATTAGCTGAATCTAGGTTTTAATTTTTAATCCTTTTTATATTTGAAATGTGCATGTTCTTGCCATGGGGGCTATTTTTCTCACTTTGTATAATGTGTTGGCTTCTTCTATAAACTTATTCATTGAAACAGATACTAACAAAGCTGCTTTTCTTCATTGGATTTGCCACACACAATGGAACTGTCATTAAGGCTAAGCTTCTATCTATTTCTTCAATTCCACTGACAACACTGGATGAGGAACTAACATAATTAAACAGCAACTGAGTTAAAATTATGCTATAAATAAAAACATGTGGCACTGCATCTAAATGGCTACTGATACTTATTCATTATCAAATCCCTGATATTTTTCATTTGATGGCAAGCAGGGAAGTTTGGGGGAGAATGAGAAATCAGGAAAGAAAAAAATATGTCATCATGACAGTCTAGAGCCCTAGAGAAAGAGTCATGTGAGAAAATACTTCAGAGAACTTATTCTTCCCTTCCAGAGTTCACAGATATTTTTAAACAAATAATCACTACATGTTTAGAAAGTAGCTGAGTAGCTGCTGTAGTTTCAGAAGTCAAGAAAGTGCTTATTCCCATGCTTATAATCATCCCTAATACATTCAGTAGGTGCATTTATAATCATCTGGAGCCCAGACATGTTGGTAACATGCTGAAAATTTGCATCAACCCTTGGGATGTTGAAAATACACTGAAATGTATATTAACCCTTTATAAACTATCAGTGAAAGGGAACCTACAATGAAAATGTCATGGAAGTTATTTAGAGTAGCAGTATCTGCAGCAGAATGAAATTCACATGTTTTTGTTGACCAAATTTGTTCACCATATCTAAAATATACTGTATCAGACAAGAAAAAAATAATAGACAGTGTAAACAGAGAGGGGCTTTCTATCTCAAAATAAGTAAGTGTTTGGGGTATAGCAAGTTACCTTTAAAAATTCTAGTTCAGCTTCATCCTCAAATAGGGAATGATTCACACGATGCAATTTAGCAAGCTCCCTCTGTACATGTGCCAGGGTCATTTTCTCTATTCGGCTTGCTGGAATGTAGTCTTCAACACGAAAATAGCTCTTCCCGTGCATCTTTGGGAGGAAAAATAAATAAATAAATAAATAAATAAATGAACAACCCAAACAACAGAAGAGAGGAGCTTTTTGTTCTTTCTTGACTTTTCTTACTTGGTGCATTTCCATTTTCAAGGTGACCCATGTGCTGAAGTCACCCTGTTGCTATTTCCTAAGAGAAGATGGGGAACAGCAGGTAGTATCATGACAGCCAAATATTCCTCTTGTACTTGTGCTCAGCCAGGTGCTTAAAGTACACACTACTGTATGTATTGTGCATGTGGAGCTAACAGCTACAGCTGCCTCAGTACAAACTACAAGGGGAGACCCAGTGCAGGGATGGATCCAACCAGATAGATCAGACCACTGAGTTCAATTAATAGAGCTGCACTGATTTGTATAACTGAAGATATGGCAAAGACCATGAAAGGGTATTTTCTGTATACTTTAAAACTGGGATAACTAGTTCAGATACAGCATCAGTAATCTGTCTTTGCGGGTTGTGGATCTGAGCCAACACACAAAATAGCTGTGAATTCTGGAGTGTTTATTTTTTTTCTTCCATGTTTTCTAATATCTTTAAACCCCTCTACACATCCAAGCTGTGCCTATGTTGAATTTTTTCTACAGATTTTTGGAGTTTCTGGCCTCTAATATTAATTATGAAGGACCAAGAGTCTTTCATGATTCTGCCATATTGCCTACCAAATTCATCTGGCTTATTATTGCTCTTTAATCAGGAAAACTTTGTAATTTTTAAAATTAAATCTGAAATGTTATTACTAAAGGACTTAGCCGAAATTATGTGCTTTTTACATTTATTCTTTAAACTCTAGGTGACAAACGAGAGACCTCTGAGAAATATTGTATTACTTATCCACACCTCAGGAGCATAATTGCCAAGCTCTGCCTGTAAAGCCAAAGCACCAAGTTTCAGAGCAGTCTCATCATTGCAATACAGTCGCTCCTCCAAAATATCTTTACGAAGCTGAAGATAAAACTGATGCCTTGTCAAGCCATGCCTGGAACATAAAGAAGGTTTAGGAACACAGGGGAAGCATTGAACAGTCACCTTAAATGCTTCTGTTTTTCCTGCCATCAGCAGAACCATACACTTACTGGATAATATTAAAGTGATTGACAAAGAATTTTATCCTTAGAAAGAGCGTGAAATTAATGATGGATGTTTTCTTCTTGGGTTGGTCATTCCAGCCATCTGGGGCCACTTTGTAGAGTTTGGTCTCCTCATCCAAAAAGAAGAATTCTTTACCTGAAATGAGATTTTGGATTCTGTGATAAATCTGGAGATACTTCAGTTGCTCAAAGTTCTGCTATCTTTGTTCAGTGCATCACTAGCAATAAAAATAAAAGGTATGGATGTTAGCTGAGATATATTTCTCTGCATCATGGCTTAATTTACTGTTTCTTTGATAGAGAAATTAGGATAGCACTTAGTGTGTAATTTAGGATTACAATTGTTTGATGCTGGATTGGTGAGGTGTCTATGGAATTACTCAAAAATCAATGGGGCTTGTATTCTGCCCACCACTGTAATCCTCATGTCCTACACACAAGGATGCTTCTTCCTAGTGCCTCAGCTATGCTTACTATCAGAAATGGGCTAGGGAGATATGTGTCTTGTAGATAAAATAGCTGAGCTTGTACTCCAATTTATATCTAGGAACAGTCAGCCTTCCTCATTACAGTGCTTCCTGGAATTTCTAAGGGAGCTATGTGGCTCAATATTATTCCAGTGTAAGGCTGGGACACAGCCTTTGCTGCATGAGAATATCAGATAATAACAGTATGGTTGTGCTAATGCAGAGTCCCTAGGGTAGACATACTTTACACCTCTGCAATACAGTGTAAATCGACATACCTGACTTTTGCTTAAGCTTTGGATCTACTTTCATCTGAGGACCTTAAAGGAACTTGTTGCAATTCATTAATAAAGTGACTACAAAGGCACTGAGGGGGAGAACTGTTACTCTAGTTAGTTATGTTTCATTACCTTTCAGGTAAGCCAAGCCAAAGTAGAAATGTTCCACCAGGTTTGCATATGCCACCACGGTGTTGAAAACATCTCTTGCCTTGGACTTGATGTCACATTGCACCTCAAGGCACTGCCCATTGAGTAGAATCACATTGAGATCCCTTTGGGACAAATAGGATTTCCCTTTTTTAGTCTAAGAACATGTAAAAAAAATGAAGAATGAGTGTCAAGTACAAGCAATGCAAGTTCCACCGCATTTTATTGCTGAGGCCCCCTAGTCTCCTGTCTCTACATAAACTGATGGAGTTGGTCACAACACAATACTATCCCCTGCCTCCCTTCTCACAGATTAATATCCCAAACATTTCTCATTTTTTAAAACCCAGGGAATCCCAACAAAACAGCTGAGCATACTCAGATTCTACAATCACCCTCATTTTCACTGCTGTATGCTGTCAGCCTTTTCCTTTATCTTAATAAAAGGTAGAGGATGTGCCTGCAAGTTGAACGAGTCCCATACGTTGGCACTAGACGTCACACTGCATCTATACAATGTATAATCTTAATATACAATGTATAATCTTAATCTCAAAATGTCTTGTGTTAAAGTAAGCATCCTTGCTGAGAAGGATAAATTAAGCTATTTCACACCAACAGAAAAAAATACATAGCACTGAAAACTAAATGACCTCCTTCCAAGTTTCAATACCTCTGCAGTAACCCTCACTTGGTTTGGGAGGAGCACAACAATACTGAGTTGGGACTCATATGTAACTTACAAAAAGCCCCAACTAAAGGATCACCAGGTTAGTTCTAAATTCTTAATGTTCATACTTACCACAATTGATCCAGGCAGCTGTAAGGTCACTGGTGGTTCACTAGACAAAATAACAAATTCTGGACCTGAAAACTATAAGGATGCAATTTAGAAATTTAATAAATGTTTCCTTAATATAATGAAGATCCCAAACAGCAGTACCAATGAAACCCATTTCTGTTTGTCTGTATGTTGTAGCTAATTGACTTCAGTGTCTAATAAGATGGAAATGCTGACTGAAGACTTCTCTCTGTTTGGAGTCTCTCCTGTATGGGCTCTCTGGGGTCTAAATAGGTGTAAGGTCATGCTGAAGCCTTTTCTTCTGTAAAGGCACTTAACCAAGATCCATTTCCTTTGCAAGGCACCTATTTTCATGACACCCACAGAAACTTAATTTCTTCTAAGACCTTTTGTCATTTGATTCCCAAGTTACTATAAGAACAGTCACAGACATATACATAGAAACATACATGCTACTGTGATTTTCATAAGTCTAGCTTCTGTAGGGAACCAGACTGGAACACAGAGCTACTTTCTTCCTTGTAATAAAAGTTGACTGATGTATTAGCAGACACTGTATTCTTCTCCTTTAACTTCCACAGAATTTAACAGCACTTAGTGAGCTTTTTCTTAGTGAGCATCTATCGCAAGGAATTTTGCTTATTGTTTTTTTTCATATTCATCTATGCATTTATATCCTTCAAGCAGACAGAAAAAAATGAATGTCTGCAAGTGGCAAGATGTGGATCCTTCCAACCATTCTCCGTGACTTAGTACCTTGACCAGTTAGATCTCCCTTTTTCTTATTTTTGTTTGAGAAAATATATGGTTAGATTCATAATACTAGTATCATCTACCAAGACAATTCAATTTTGTATCACATATAATGAGAGTCTAGCACTTTGTTGCAACAGTTACTGGATGCCTGAGGAACTCTATTATCCCAGCAAAACCATATTCACAAAATCTAAAAATAAATTTATTTATAAAAGGATAATTTCCCAATGTATCTAACTGAAACTCTTGATCAAAGTTCTGCCACTGGTCAGTCTGTAGCTGGTGAATTGGGAATAGGTTAAAGGACTCATCAGCCTGAAAACTGTCCAGAAATCTCCATGGTAGTTTGAAAGAGAAAACTCCAAACAAGAGAAAACTCCAAAACAATGGAGAAAACTCCATTGTGGAGTTTTCTGATTCAATTATTTATAGATTTTTGTGACCAAACGGCCAAAAACAACATTATCCTTCCCATTTAGCAGAGTCCTACAACAAATTAGCAACTAGAAATAGACCCTTAGGTGAACTATTGGTTTGGCACACTCTCTGCTAGCCTATGCTTTCTGTCCAGGCATATACTTATAAAAGCAATTTAAGATCTTTGAGCACTGTTGACCAGCAGGTGTTTGGGTTCAGTGTCTCTGTAATTTTTTTTTGCTGTACTAAAGCTCCTGTCAAAGTGGTTAATGAAAACAGACCATATGGTGCTTGATGCTTGCAGAAACCACACATGTAGGTCAGACAGGGTTTGATTATAAGCTTTTGCTTAGTCTTTACGGACAAGAGCTTTCACTGCCTTCAGTTCTGAGTTACCAGGACAGGATCATGCCTAATTTGGAGTTTGTCAATTTAGAATACTCATCTAATGATATGACTCATGCAGGTCACTGGCAAACGACAACTGGATAAGAAGTTTCTCTTTAGTGATATTTACATTTTTAATCAGCTTATAAGTTTTTCATTAGTCACCTTTTCCTTCCTGTGGAACAAACATTTCTGTGATGTAGCAGCTGCTGTGTAGTCCTTTGTAGACACAGAGAAGGTGGAACCTAAATTTAGCAGGTTCTGTCTGCTGTTCTTCTGAATTCCAGTAGGGATTTCTTCTACAGCACTGACCGATCTTCAAAAGAAATGTCATAGTGAGCAGTATATATAGCATGCGATCAAAACAACACAGACTTGAGAACAAAGAGCTTAAGGTGCATTGACTGCAAGAATATTATGAAATCCAGGGCACTGTCAGTTACAAGTTGTTATATGCTTCATTACAGAAAAACCCAAAAATAAATCAACTGTGATTATATTATTATATTACTGATACCCTTTATAAATACATCTAAAATCTGCTTTTTTTTTTGCTGTTGTTGTTGTTGTTTGGTGAGTCAGATCTAGCTGGTTTCATTCATTCTGGGGAAGCCAATGGGCAAAGAGTTTAGCCCTTGTCTTTCTGTGAATTCTGCAGGATGAATTAAATTCCTAATTTCTTATTTTCTGGAGCAAAAAAGCTTCCCAAAATCATAACATTAGTTATTGCATTATTCAGCGTTTTCCAGGAATGGAAATTAAATTATCTTAATACTAATTCATTAGAATAAATTAATGTCTAAGAGAACTGAGGAAATTTTCTATTTAATTAAGACAAAGATGTGTGAAATCTCAGATCAGAAAGATGTCTTTACACTATACTTCTAATACATACAGTAATGATGTTTTCCACATGAGCAGAAACGTGTGCTTAGAATAAACTTTAAGTATAATATATATTCTTATCAATGAGGAAATATTGATTATGTGGTATAGGAGGAAAGATTTTGTTGAGGTAGGTTTTTGTTAATTACATTTTAAAAAAATTCCAAGGTCACACATTTTTTGTTATTCCAAAGTTTTATCCTTTTCTTTTACATGTTGTTGAGTTGCTTCAGGGAACTATTCATGGAGTTTTCAAAATGTTTTTAGTAAAGTTACTGAAGTAGTTGCTGATCTTGACCTCTTCTCCCTGATATCCAGTGACAGGACATGTGGGAATGGTTCAAAACTGTGTCAGGGAAGGTTCAGACTTGGTATTTGAAAGCATTTCTCTACTGAGAGAGTGGCCAAACACTGTAACAGTCTTCCTAGAGGGGTGATCACTGCCCCAAGCTTGTCAGTTGTTTAAGAGGCATTAGGACATTGCCCTTAATAATATGCTTTAGCTTTTGGTCAGCACTGAGTCAGGAAGTTGAACTCAATGATTGTTGCAGTTCTCTTCCAACTGAACTGAACAAACCTATCCTATCCTATCCTATCCTATCCTATCCTATCCTATCCTATCCTATCCTATCCTATCCTATCCTATCCTATCCTAAATTCCTCTGTTATAAAGTTGTCCAGATACTTTTGTTTCGACGTACACAATCTCTTACAGATCAACATTTAACTAAGAAATACACCTAAAAAATGACCTGAAGTGACTTTTGTGTGTATGAAAATACTGTTAGCTCAAAACCCAAGACACTGTATTAAGAAGATTTTGTTTTCTTGTGGAAAACACTTCCTGTTATTAGTCCTGCAAGGTGGGAGGTATGAGACTTGACATTTGTGCCTTCTTTATATATAGGCCAGAGTCCTGTGTGTACTTCAAGCTTAACTTTATGAGATGTAAGCTGTATCAGTCGGATGGCTTATAGAATTATGATATTAGTAAGCTTTAAAGATAGTAAACCCATCACTAAGTTTTGTGTTGGTTGTCCTTCTGTATGGGAAGTTAGTGGTTTCCAAACTAATTAAACTCCACTGTTGTTGTGGTACTTAAATTAGGGCCTTGCAGATGCTTACAACCAAAAGTGAGGTTTACAGTCCCTGAAATTCTATGGTAAACAGCTTGCTGGAAATTTAGAGAAAAGAGTTCATCTTTCAGCAGAGGAGGGGAACATTTTCTTGGCAGCATGATTTTAGATCAAGGATATGGGGACAATACCCAGGTTGGTAGTCAGAAGCATTGCATTTGCTCCAAAGTACTCAGTAAATAAATCTTCTGTTACTGATAGCATTCCCAGGTGTGTAACGCATATATAGATGTCTGTCTACACACATATGTATGTTTTTGTGTGTAGTTAGACAGGTAGACAGAGACTTCTTTCTTCACAAAAACTGGCACTATCCTACATCCTGCTTGTAGTTCTTTCTTTATTGCAGGTTTAGAGGTGTACTCGGGTATCTCACATCACACAGATTATTGTGGCTGATTTATCGGGAAGTTCAACTGTTTACCTGGGGTACATTTAATTGGGTGTTGATCTAAATAGAACATTTCCTGTGGGCCTGAATTATTCATGCCATGGTTAAAAGAAGAAACTCCTGTTTAACTGGGTCAAGAACTCGATTTAAATGGGATGTCTGTAGGGATTACATGGTGCTTAACTATGGGATTCTGGTCTTTGTGGTGCCTACAGGCTAACAGTAGTTACATCTCTCTTTGTTTGGAAACAGCCACGATTACAGCTTCACTATGCTAACACCCTGTTTAGAAAACTCTTGTTTGGCAGCAGTGGTGTTTCCCCAGCTTTTGAAAATGAGTAAGCATCAGCTGTACAATTCTCAGCTTTCCTTGCCTATGTCTACAGGGCTGTTGTATAGACTGTGGCTGAAATGAGGCTAATCCTTATGACAGAGCCAAGTTCTTTACTGGTTGTGTCCCTGGGTTACTTGAAACTCTTCAGTAAAGTGGTGGTGCAGGCCTGGATATGGCTGACAAAAGCAAGGCAAATCGATTTAAGAACTGAGATGGAAATGAAAATAAACCACTGAAAATGATGGATCATATGCATGGTCTGTCATAACCACTCCAGAACACGTCAGGCCTCTGCTAATGTGACAGCAAGTCAAGACCAGATACAAAATCTGAATGTAGACAATTATGGACCCTGCAGAATACCTTGGCAGTTAAAGCAATGCCTGTTTGCACCCTCTCAACATGTTTTTCCTTTCCACACTCTCTGTGGAGCTGCTTTGCGGTTGTTTCAGGCACAGCAAGCTATTGCTCCTTACCTGTCTAATTATGCCAGAGACCTGCTAGGGGCAGCTGTTTTGGGAGGCCAGTAACAGCTGGCAGGACACAGTGGTAAAGAGTAATGGTAGAAAACTTCAGTGTGCTTGTTTTGCACTGATTGATCACGGCCAAAGCTCCATTTCACTAGAGTGTTTGGACTGTTTCGCTTGGAGCCAAACTGAGCCTAGGTGCACTTTAATTCTGTGTAAACAGTATCTATTATCAAAACGGGTTCAGATGGCAATCAGGCATTTTCTGATAATGACATTGCCTCATTAGTTGCTGTTTCACCTGGCAATAAGACAACATCCATCTTTCAGGAACATGAGTTCTGATTACCTGTTTATGAAGAGCTTGTAGCTACTTTGTGTCCTTGACCCACTAAGGGTGGGGTCCCATGACCGGTGTGTCTGTGGAACTCTCCCTGAAATGAACAAAGGAAATTTCACAATTGAAGCAATTTAACCAGCACTCGGCATCAGACCTTGGGACAATAACAAGAAAGAAATTTAGACTGTCTACCTCCTCTCGTGTCCTCACTTGGGCATGACAAACAGGTATTTGATAAGGTTAAGTGAATACTACACCAGCAGTATTCCCAGTTCTCTAGTTATTGTTACTTCCTCTTCATAACTCTTCATGTGAATGTAATTTGGAAAATAGCTGTGTAGGTACAATGGCTGTTATTTCCACATATATGGAGAGCTTTTGCTGTTCAGAAATTACCCTTAGTATTCTTTGTTCTTCTATTTCCAGGCATAAAATTGGGAAGGAAGGCTGGGGGAAGCCATGAAATTTCTCTGGCTTAATCAGAGTAGGATATGAAAGGAAAACTGTTTAGAAATATTCCAACAGTTATTTGCTACATTTAATATATTGTGAATGGTTTTACAGCATAAAAATCTGGTAGGAATATAGGACTGCTTCTGAGTTACTAGCAAATAAGTTTTGTATAATTCTCACCTTCAGTCATCTCTGCTGCTACAGAAAGGATAGGCATTGCTCTGTCAAAATATATGAAAGTTGAAATTTAGAGGTAGAACCAGAAAAGGTTATGAAAGTTCTGTGAACATCTCTTATAGCAGCAGAGGTGTTTTAAACCCTGTAGGGAAGGGTGGGAAGGTTAAATTTTTCATCAGTTGGACCATTTCACTGATCATATTTGAAGAACTGCATATCAAACTATTACATAAGCAGTGGTGATAAGATGAGCTGTGTGGAAGCACTCATACAGGTCAGCTTTTTCTCCAGATAAAATATCCATTAACTACACCCTGAGACCTCGCTCTGAATTCCAACATGAAAATGTGACATTGAATTCTAGTATACCAACCACCAATTGCAATTTTAAAAACTAGAAAAGCTACACATTGCTAAAATATGCATAAAATGGTTTTCAAGCCACAAATGGTAGCGTCAAAATGGGAGATTTGAGATAAGCCAAATATGCAGGGCTATTTACCAAAGTTAAGATTCAGTCCTGTGTTCTGAAACTATGTGCTTTTTAACAAGAAAGCCTTGCAAAGTTCTCTGCTTACACTATAGGTTTCACATAATTGTGTAAATATATTTTGACAAGCACATGAAATTCCCCTTAGTTTTTCTGTCTCAGTTGTCATGGCACTGAGACAAGGTGACTAGTTTCAGTGGCCAGACTGCTGTGCTTTGATCACAAATCCAACACATTCCTGTTGTTAAGTAACATGTGGCCCTCAAAGACATTGATCCTGCAGATGATTAATGTAGTAATGTTGGTCTCTCTTGATAATGGTGCTCTACTAGGTGGTAATATCTTTTTTCAGAGAAGAATGCATTTTTCTAATACATTATCTCATCAAAGAACGTTTGCAGCAAACAAGTTCTCACGTTGTTTTCTCATGTAATTTAGTTTTTTCTTACAAAATCCTGAGTACAAACAGCTACCAGTGTATCAGTGAAGACTGAGACATGCACAAATTCACTAGAATGGGCCTTTGTCAAGTTTATGTCCTTATTTTTTTAAAAAGACTTACAAAAAAGGCTCCTGGGCTTACTTTCACTGTGTGCCACTACGTCTGTGACTGACATGTATGCGTCACATAGGGAGCAGCTGCAATTTCAGGGTTTTATTGCTGCTGATATTGAAAGCAATTCTGGAGCTTCAGAAAAGTGCCTTTAAGGAGTATCAACAGCAGTTGTATGAGTAGCCTTACCTTCCTCATCCTTGAGGCCAAAGGCTTGGGGCTGAGAGGCTGTTACATGCTGTGTTTTGTGTTTTGTTTGGGTTTTTGCTTTGTTTCCCAGGAAGTATTTGTTTTCTCTCTGCAAATCATCTCTTGGCAGGCTTGTGATAATGCAATTGGCACAGAGCGCTTTTTGCTATCTTTCCTAGGGAAATTTGTGCCTTGAGATCATGCTCTATGCCTTTAATTTTTGCCTAGTAAATTTTAAACTTTTCACATTTGGAAGAGTGTGAGTAATATGTTCCTACAAATCTCATGACAATCAGCAGCTGGATATCGTAAACCCAAATTAATGCTTCCCCGTGAGAAAAAGAAAGGACTACTCAGCAGTTTTCTGTCATATATGACATCAACGAACTAACCAGTCAGTGTGCTTAACTTGTTGCATCATAACTGAAACAGTGGATGTTAGGATTATAGGGAGGAAATTTCTGGGATAAAAACCACACATGCTTGCAGAACACATTTAAATCCATGCCACAGGAGGACCTAGTACCTATGGAGCCTACCTACAGAGGCTCATAGTGTGAGGATGTAAACTCCAAAGTACAGCTTCCTGGGACTGGAAGCTCAGGACAAATGCCCCAGGCAGGATGGAAAAAAAAAGTCTGAAAACAGGAGGGAGGGTGTGTAACTGTGGAATAGAGAGCAGAAATGTGCATGTTTCTGAGATGGGGCGCTGGTATGTAAGCTTGGTTTGTTAGGTGATGCTGATGGCATTTGGCTACAGGAACTTTTTGCTCTTCCATGGGTATTCTTACATTTCAGGGGACAAAAGAGATGAGTATGTAATTCATAAACATAATCTTTCAGGAAAATCTTACCTCTCCTGTGTCCTCGGTTAGACAGTATCAAAGATGTACTTTCAGAAATACTATTAGAGTCACTGTAGTCCACAGAGAGTTGTCTGTAATCTTCTGTTGATTGACTGTAATTCATTAACCTGGACCCTTTGTCTGGAAACAGAAAAGAAATATGGTGAATCCAATACTTTAATTATAAGTCATTGTATCTGCATGATAATGTAAATAACATTTGGCTGGACTAATTTTTATATAGTCCATGTCACTGTCTTCTAACACTGACTTCAACTCCTTAAAGACCAAGGAAAGCTTGGTAACTTCATTCTACAACTTTCATAATCTTATTCTGACCCAAAATAGTTCTTATAGTTCTCCTAAGACATTCTGAATAAAACAAATCTAACATATTAATTCTATTCCACGTGTTATGTGGAAAGGTTGCAAAGTCCAGATAACCTGCAAAGTTCTCCTTTCCTACATTCTGAGACCCAAAACCTTCAGCTATAAAGTATTATCTCTGTGTGCGGGATGGAGAGTGCCCAGAGACAAGCCACTAGCAGTGTTGGCTGCAGAAATTCCATTAAGGAGTCATTCTAAGTCATTAGGAAGTACATGCTTTTGTTGCACCTTAACTTCACTTTGGTTGCATTCTCTTGCCCTTTTCCAGAACCTCTGAAGGTTATAATTTTTAATAAAATACAAAGAAAGAAATGGAATGCTGCCTTGAGAAGTGCGGCTCACACATTCTCAATGTAATCAACATCCTGATTCATTGAAGCCCTTCAGTGTAAGCCACATGACCTGAATCCCTAGAAAACACAGAGATCACCCCAGATACATAATCAGGAGAACCAGTAGAAGGGAAATGGCAGGAATTTGAAACTAACAGGGAGTTGAAGATGGGACCATCCCTTTTAGCAGTAGCAGAGTTTTTACTAGCTTATGCAAGTGTGAACCCATAAACTCAGTTTCTGAATGAGTGAGCTGATGTGCTTTGAAGGGTGGTTTATCTGTATGTTTTCAAAAGAATGTCATTTTCTTGTGACCAGTAATACCTAATGGACAGAAATGTTTTGCAGGTATTTAAGCATGTGTTTAATTCTAGCTGGAGTTAATGGAACATACATGTGATTTGCTGAATAGGATTTGGATTGTTCATATGCCTAATACTGAGCATATCCAAAAAAAATGCCCATATAGCTTTGTCCAACCTTCGCTTTCCTGCAGAATTAGAGACTTTTGTTGAAGTGAACATTACAATATAGAGACTAGAAAAAATTAACTGTCTGAACCTGAAGCTCACATTTAGTTACAGCTAGAGAATTAGTCTGTGGGATAATAAAATCTTGAGTTTAGTCAAATGAAATGTGAAATTAGTATATGCTGGTTTATTTATATAGTGAGCAGGATTTGGCCTTGTGTCTTGAAATCACTCCAGCAATCCATGTGTGAATTTATAAAACATCTCTGAATACAAAACCAAAACTAAAATAAAAAAGAATTCACAAATCTTTGCTTGAGTAATCAATCAGGAAGGATGAATATATATTCTTTATGGCAACAGGATAACTTCACAGAATCCCGCTCTTTACCTTCAGAAATACACTGGAGTATGCAAATATAAAAACATACTCCATATAAAAAGCATTTTTCAAATCAGGCTTTTTTATATGCACAGGTTTTATGCAAAGTGCTTTAAGAGTTGAATCTGTGCAAGCTGATTCGTTATCATTGCTTCACAGCCCTCAGACTACTGTCCTTTGTGGAAATAAGGAACAGAAACCTTGCTGACTTGCCTCAGAGTCTTTCCATTCTGAAGTCATTTATATGTAAAGTAATAAATATCCTATCCAACGCTACTTGTAATCACCACAGCATGAAATTAAACAAGTCGCCTATCCTGGGAAAGACTCAGAAAAGGCTGGCTGTATCCTTATTACACAGTTCAGATTGTAAGTCTTTTTTTACCTTGGTGAAAATTCATCTGGGAGTACAGTGGTGAGCTGTCCGATATTTTCTCATGCAGCCTTTTCCTTATCACATGACTTCTGTTAAGCTGAGAGGCTGTGCTGTCTTCGTTGACTACCCGCTCTACCTAGAAGACAGTAGTACTGCAAGTCAATGTCATACGATATGTGGACTTCGGACTCTCATATTGAAGTGATCCTTGCCCTCTGCTTGTCAGAGGCTGCTGATTGTGTTGGTATAAACAACTTCATCTTCTCAGATTAACACAAAGCAGGATTGAGTTTTGATGGCTTTTTGCTCTCATGCAAGCTGTGTTTAAGAGAGGACACTCTCTCTTACACTGGGAAATGGAGTAATAAGGAGTGCAAGGGAAAAGGTCATCTCAGAATATTAATGAATACTGGTTGAAAACAGGGAAAAAAACCCACAACCCTGCAGTGTATTTTCTTTCGGTTTCGTTCAGCTTGTCAACAAAAATTCTTAGTTGATATTTCAAGTCTTGAAAAAGACTCAGGTGCTCACTTATTAAAGACTTCACATGGTCAGGCTTGATTGAACAGCAGGTGTTCAGTTCCAGTCAAGAATGACAAATTGAATTCTCAATATGATGTAAATGTGATTTCTTCAAATTTCTCAAAGACTGAAACCAGAGGGGCAAAGGAGAAATCTTTTGTGTAAAGACAACTGGCCAATATGAGGGTTCTGTAAAGGTTATGACTGCTTCAATATTAACAAAAAGAAATGAAGGTACAAATTGGATTTGTGTCGTTTCCCAGGAGTGTAAGAGTGGTGTGAGAGATAGCTTCGTTGCTTCATTTGCTTGTACAATTTCCTGCTTAGGTCTAAAACCAAATCTAACTTCCTGAATTCATACAAGCATTAATTTCAAGCAACTGCTCACCATGACGCTGCTCTCCCTTCTCACCAAAGAAAAGATAATATATGAAAGTAGCACCTACCTCACTGACACTTCCCACAGCAAACAAGACCATTTTCTTTATATAGACATTAGCTGGTAAGAAAGCAGCTTCTTTCTGATGTGTCTCACATGCTTCCAGAATTGACTCAGGAGAAAGCCTTTTGTGTGGCAGATCCTCACATAGTGTCAGCAAGAGCATGTGTAGCTGGTCACTCAGCTGGAGGGACTGAGTCAAAATACAGGTACTGTTAAATGACATCTCTCAGTGGTCTGAAATGCTCTGTAAACTGCAACAAGGCATTTCTGTAAACCTTTTACTCTGGGTGAGAAATGGGCAGTGAATTCCTTTAAATTTTGGGAAAATTCCAGACAGGCAGCATAACAGCACTAAATGGAGCCACTAATGGGATCCAGAGGGAACTGGCATCGACAAGGAAACTCATCAGGCCATATAGGGGCTTCCTGATGACAGACAACAGCTCAATTTCTCCACAGCTTTGCTAATTAGACTGTGAATCTTAAAAGATTCATGCAAGTAAAATATGTGACAGCATTAGCTTTAAAAGGGTGAGGAGTTATACCAGCCAAAACTGTTACCACAGAGACAAGATACTTAAATTTTAGTCATTTAGCTTATAGAGCTTTTTCTCTTAGACTATGTATACCCACGAAAGGGAGGTTAGATCTACTAAAAGTTTGTGCTTTTCAAATAAAAACACATGTCAAAGGCATGGGTACAGAAATGAAGCAAAATGTGTGCTACAATTCTTTGAAAGAATTCTGGGTAAAAAATGCAAAATTTCAATTAGCAGAGATGCTGGTAGAATTTGCACAGAAATAAGGAGAGTTATTCAGTTTACGTAGCATCCCATTCTTTGAAAAAGCACATAAATGTGCACAGCACCACAATCATGTGGACATGATGTTTTTATTTTAGGCCTTCCTATTTTAGAATCATAGCATCATAGTATCATAGAATAATTTAGATTGGAAAAGACCTCTAAACCATCAAGTTCAGCTGTAGCCCTTATACTGCAAATCCACCACTAAACCATGTCTCTAAGTGTCACATCTACACATCTTTTAAATATCTCATGGGACAGTGACTCAACTACTTCACTGGAGAGTCTGCTCCTTATTACAGCCTTGGAGTAAATCATCTTCACTCTTAACAGCAACGCACAATTAATCTTATTTGGAACAATTCTGGTTTTTGAAGCAAAAGAGAGAAAAAAAGGAAAGTAAAGATGAGGCTCAACTAAATTTATTACTTGGATTAACTAGTATTTTTGGTGAAGTCTGCACCTTGACATAGGATTTCCAATTTTTTCTAGTGGTCCAAAACATAAAGCTCCTCCCTCTGAGATTTCAGATTATGCCTCTCAATCTTTGAAGCTACTAATATAAAACAGAATAAAAGTTCAAACTTCAACAGGGGAAGTTCAGGTTAGATATAAGGAAGAAGTTCTTTACTGTGAGTGTGGTGAGGCACTGGAACAGGTTGCCCAAGGAATTTGTGAATGCTCCAGCCCTGGCAGCATTCAAGGCCAAGCCTTGGGTGACATGATTTAGTGTGTGGTGTCCCTGCCCATGGCAGGGGGGTTGGAACTGCATGATCTTAAGGTCCTTTCCAACCCTAACCATTCTATGATTCTATTCTAAAACAAAAATGTGTTACTGGCCTGGTTTGGAGGAACCTGGTAGTCTGCTGACCAATAGAGGGTCATTCCTAAGGAATACACCAACATCTGTTAAAACAGAAAAGGAAACATTAAATACAGAAAAGCGTTGTACTAGAGACGCCACCTTTTGTGTCTCTGGTCACCAGCGGCAGAAGCCAAAGAAGTGTTAAAAAAAAAAAGCAAGCTAGACTAGAGGAAGCGTATGAAAGTACAATAGTGACTCGGCTTATAGACTAGGTAGCATGCAATGGGTATTGTTCAGCTTGAGCGGTTGAGCCAGACTTCCCTTTATCCAATGATGCCATGAGTAGGAAAAGAAATTTTAACTCCTTTTTTTAGTTTTGAAGCAATCTCATTGGTCATTAAAGCTCTCTCATACCTGTGGAGCTGACTAGCACTCATGTCCATCTATTCCAAAGCTTTACGTTTCTGCATAGTGTCTAAGTGATCGGTTACATGGGAGCCTGAAACTACTGTGTTCTGCCTGAGGGAAGTATGCAGTTATGCAGTCCTAGTGGTTTGTAAAACTTATACATACCTGAGTGTTGTATCTTACTGTCTTGCCAGAGAGACTTATTTGTCAGGGAGAAGAAAAGTAAATTGTTAACAAAGCTGAACATATTTCTGACTTCCTGGGAGTGCTTCCACTCTCTGATTGTAATTACAATTACCATATCTGGTCAAGCATCATGTTCATAGAAATATTCTTCCTTTCTGTGGGCCTTTACATATAATACATTTGTGTAGATCTTGAGGACTGATGTCCAAAATTTATTTTGATGATGACATGCATGCTGTCTAATGGCAAGCTTCAAGACACATCTAAATCTTTCTTATTGTAGCCTAATTAGTGTTATCAGAAATGGAATTTGACAATAGATACCTGGTATACTGCATTAAAACCCGCAAGCTTGTCTTCATGAGGTACTCTCAAGATTTATTTTCTAATATACCTTACCTTTGTTAGTCCAGTGTGCTGGTTTTTACTTTGTCTTTGAAGCAATTCTGGTGCACTGAAAGGTACAGCTTCTGTCTGAGATGCATTGTTTTGGAAGGACAGATTTCCTTCAGCAGACAGTAGTACTGACCATGGGCAAATCACACAGATGGTAGGGTCTGAAAAATGTTGAAGAAAATAATGGAGTTTTTAGTGTTAAATTTACTGTGCTTCATAAATTTATACTGCTGGTGTCTCACCTGCATAGCCAAACCCATCAATGAAGTTTCATGGAGATGTACCCAGAAGTCAGTGGAATCATGCTCATTTATGCCTGGCTCATTTTGTAAGGTGGAATTCAGTGATGGTTAAAGACTTGATTTCTCTCTCACGTTTCACACATACAAACATATTGATTTCAGTGGATTTCTGAAGCCTAAGGACAGTCACAAGTACATCCCGTGTGCAGATTCTAGAGATACTGACATTTTTGGTAGATCTTTTTATGCAAAGCACAAGAGAGTATCTGAGGGATAGAACACTCCTTCCAATAAAGTACGGGTACTTTGAACTGGCATTTGCAAAGACCTTAAGTTAATTTCCATTAAGTTGCATGACTTCATTATAAATCTCTGTGGTGATATATTTTTGTTCTGTGTGCTCCTTATAGTCAGTTCTGCATTTTAGTTACCTCTTTTTCAGTGTATTGTGTCTAGCAAAGCCAAGTTACTTTGCCAGAAAGTCAGTGTCAGGATTCAGTACCTTTATTCCTATTGTAGAGATGAAGAAACTGATGCAGAGTCCAGCTTTGATGACTAGACCATACCAGTCAACAGAAGCCAAGGTAGCTTCCCAAGTCCCAGTGCTTTAACCTATGAAACTTTTTGTAGAGTGGAAACATAATTTCCAACTAACCTAAAGTTTGGGATTTTTTTTTTTTACCAGAATGCAGATATGAAAGCTAACCAAACTAAACTAAGACTAGATTCTAGCAGTCTAGTAGAACTGCCATGATATTTTAGCATTATTCACATTCAGTCTTTCTGTCTGCATGTCATATCTCTTAAAAGAGGGGATATTTCAAACAAATGTGCTTTCAAATGATAAATGCAGACTCCTAAACTTGACAAGGTCCCGAGGACACTAATAGGCCTTAATGGCCCTGACCACCTGGGAACTAACCCCATCCTCTGCCCATCCCAGGCTCAGTTAAGTGCAGCCTAGGGCCTTGAGTCCCTGCCTGAGGTATGGTGAAGGTGTGCCTGTGTCCAGCTTAGCCAGTTATGCCTTGGCTGACTTCTTTGATCCTGACACATTGACTAACTTCCCAAAAGAACCTCAGGGTTGCCTTGTCACTGTGGACTTGCCTGGTGATCACTGGGCCATCTGACTCTGGTTGCCCACAGCAGACCTGATCCTGACTCAGCTTCCCAGCTTGAGCTCAGACCTGCCTTGTCATCACAAACTTGTGTGTTGGTCTGGATTCTCAGCTGTCAAGCCCCAGACCTTCCCTGCTTCCCTTGTTTGGGTAATGTGGGATAGGGCTCTCTGTACCAGGAAAATGGATGGTAAAAATGGATAAAATGTTAAACTGGGAACTCATATATATACAAACCTAGGAGGTTTGTATAGTCAGAGGACCCAGAGATTCAAGACTTAGGGACTGCTGGTATCTGCAACAATTGTGGCATTTACTTCTTTAGAAAACTAAAGGTCTTACAAATGTCAACTAACCTATTTTGCTTCTTCCTCATTTGCTGTAATATTGTATGCAAATGCAACCAGCATGTGCTGGGAAATTTGTCTGTTTTAGAAACAGGTAACCAGCTTGTACTTCAGCATTGATGGAGATTACCCAGCCTTCTGTACTGCTGTCCAGCCAAGGAATGAGCGTACCTGTCTAACCAGTTAGTGCTCGAACACACTGAAAATACTGCTATAGCAAGTGTTGACACTCAACAGGTTTAGCAAGATTCAAGCACAGTGCAGCACAAATGTGGCAGTACTAGCCCAGAGAAAAGCCTGATTCCAGAAGTAGTATAGCTATAATTAAGAGATGTGGAGCCAGGGATATGCCTTAGTCAACTGGGATGATGCTATGCAGAGGCAGTTTACCTTTGCTGCCCTCCAAGAAACTGTAGCACTGGGGATTCAGCTTCAGAATGAGTCCAACTTGGCATCACTTCTGGACTTGAGCTCTCTAAAGACATGTTTGAGCAGTCGTGCTTAACCTATAGACCAGCTTGGTTCTACACAGCTACTTCCTCTTGGCTTACTCTTCATCTTCTGATCATAATATCCTAAATTTATCTGGTGCAGCATAGGGAACATAGGCCGATTATCTGAATTCAACAGATATCCAAAAAGTCTTTCTGTTTGTTTGTTTGCTTGTTGTGTTTTGGTTTTTTGGGGTTTTTGGTTTGGTTTTGGTTTGGTTTTTTTTGAACAAGAAATCAGGAGCGCATAGTGTCAGCTTAGCATCTGGGACAGAATTAGTAAGCTGTGATGGACCTGAGCTGAATCTATCCAGGTGGGTATCTCTGTGCTGCACTCCTTTGGACATTCCTGGTGCCTGTCTTGTTTGTGATGTTCTACCCTCTTGTTAGACTACCTAATAG